GTGCATTCGGTTAGATCAGGGGTCTGCAACCTTAAACACTCAAAAGAGCCATTTGGACCCGTTTCCCACAGGAAAAAAAAAAAACACCGGGAGCCACAAAACCCTTCCCGTGCCTGACTATTTCTTGAGCACCCACAAAGCTAGCATATGTAAGTTGAATTAAACGTTCTGTTTTCTTCTGAAACTTTTCTTTTCTTGGATTTATCCATGGTTGGCCTACCGGGGGTTGGAAAGCTCAATAAATCGTGTGCCGGTGGGTGTCGCACATTGGCGGTTGTGACGCATATTTTGAGTGACAGGGAGCCGCAGCAGAAGGGTGAAAAATAATAAAATTATTTGTCACCCTTTATTATTATTATTATTATTATTATTATTATTATTATTATTATTTAATCTTTAGTGAGATTCACAGCCTTTGAGGCTGGTTAATAGCTCAGCAGCTCGAGTCCTAACCAAGGACCTAGGAACTGTTAAGGTATCATCAGAGGATGTAAGCTGTTCCAAGTAAGGTGGTTTTTTGTAGAGTCAAAATGTTCAAGTCCGGCAAATTTAGAATTTCTAAATAGCGGGGTAGCCCTTTGGGTATTGCTCCGAGGGCTCCAATTACAATCGGGACAACACACGATTTCTTTTTCCACAGTCGCTCAACTTCAATTTGCAAGTCCCGGTACTTTGTGATTTTTCTTGCTGCTTATCTTCAATCCGTGCATCACCAGGTATTGCAATGTCAATGAACCATACTTTTTTCTTTTCAACTATTGTTATGTCAGGTGTGTTGTGGACCAAGTGCCTGTCAGTCTGAATCCTAAAGTCCCACAAGATCTTGAGTTTCTCATTCTCTAAAACTTTCTCAACCTGATGTTCCCAGTGGTTTTTGCTATACTCAAATCCAAACTTCTGGCACAATTTCCAGTGAATGATCTTAGCAACACGGTCATGGCGTTGTAGGTAGTCAGTTTGTGAAATTTTGCTGCACCCACTGATCAGGTGGTCATTATTATTATTATTATTATTATTATTATTATTATTATTATTATTATTATTATTTTAGCCTCTGCTCGATTTGGAGTCTGGATATCAGAACGGGAAATGGCATAAATCGTCTTTCTCTTGAGAGGATGACAATATCAACATTTTTATGGTGCATTAGAAATGTAGACTTTCTCATTATAGAAAAACGGTCTCTGGTGGACACATTTTAATTGAGTTTTCCACTTTAAGACATAGGAAGGAGAGAGGAAACGCGGGCATCTCCGCCTTCAATTAATTAGTGAGTAATAGATTTCTCTCCCTTTCGGCTCCCTCCCCCCTAATAATTCTCCGGGGAATCTAGTTATGATGAGATATTGGAATTGGAGGATACGCCATGGATCCCTTCGAGACCGAGAAGTAGAAGGAAGACGAGGGAAGATGACAAATGTCCCTTCCGAGAAACGCAGCCATTATGTACAAGACAAATGCCTTCCAGTCAATTTTGACTCCTGCTGATTAGATGAAGGTCTACGTACAAGATTTTCGGGGTAATAGTACGCAAGTTTTATTTTATTTTATTTTATTTTCATTTGATTTCTATAGCTGCCCATCTCAACAAGTGATTTGAGACGGTGTACCAGGGGTGGGTTCTATTTACCTTTACTACAGGTTCTCATTGTGCCCACTCGCTCTTCTGCACATGCGCAGATCACCTATGACAGTGATGGCTAACCTTTTTGCCATTGTGTGCCAGGAAGGGGGTGGGGGTGGGGGTTTTGAATGTGCGTGTGCCCACACCCATAATTCTATACGCCCTGCCCTGCGCATGCATGCGTTACCCCCCTCCCCCCCGCTCCTGGCACGCAATGGCCCAGTAGGCCCATTTTTCTTTCTCACCTAGCTCCAGATCCTCTTTATGCATCTGGGGAGGGTGAAAACAGCCTTCCCCACCCCCTCGGAGGCCCTCTAGAGGCAGGAAACAGCCTGTTTCCCTACTTCTGGTGGGCCCAGAAGGCCCGAAAATCAGCTGGCCAGAGCTGAGCTGGTGTGCCAGGCAACATGGCTCTGCATGCCACCTGTGGCACGCGTGCCATAGGTTCGCCATCACAGACTTATGATGACATCTGAGTCAGTGGGCGGAGCCTCCCACCGGTTTTACTACCTGTTCTTGCGAACCGGTCTGAACCTGGGGCAACCCACCACTGCAGAATACATCATAAAACATAAAAATAATTCAAGCAATGAAAGAAGAACAAAATAAATATATCTTTAGAAGAGAATATTTGTAGTTCAGGGTTGAATTGTGCTGCTTTCTGAGCTTGGTGGTTTTCTTGCAGATGTTTCATTACCCAACTAGGTAACATCATCAGTGTTAGAAGGGAGTGAGGGATGTAGTAGAGTGGAGCAGGAGTAGGAAGAAGCCAAAACAGGATCTCTAACTCTTAAGCATCATCCATCACGTGGATGGAGCATTCTTGGCCTGTTTCCTCTAACTGGGAAAAAGGAAGATCAGGGGAGGCCGACTGAATCCAATCCCACATCTGTCTTGAGTCTGGTAGCTACAGGAACAGATCACAGATGGTTGGACCGTGATTGGTTGACATCCAATATCTCACAGATGGTGAGCAAGAGATGTTTGAGGAATGGGTGGACTTCTTCTTCTGAAAAAAGAAGAAACTATGGGCAGATACCTTGATGTAAAGGATGAGATGACATATCCTGATGCCTTGGAGTGAGTGAGGACCAGATTGGAAGCTGCCCGTTGCCAGGGGGTTGAACTAGAAGACCTCCAAAGTCCCTTCCAATTCTACTAGTCTATATTCTGTGTCCTTTGAACAGTGGTGGATGAACACCATACCAGAAAGCAGCAAGCTCAAAAAGCGAAGTGAGGAGATGACACGTGGCCTCCTAAAAGTCGAAGATTTGTTGTTGTTAGTTGTGAAGTATGTCCAATCCATCGTGACCCCATGGACCAGGGGTCTCCAACCTTGGCAACTTTAAGATTTGTGGACTTCAACTCCCAGAGTTCCTCAGCCAGCAAAGATGGCTGAGGAATTCTGGGAGTTGAGGTCCACAAGTCTTAAAGTTGCCAAGGTTGGAGACCGCTGCCATGGACAACATTCCTCCAGGCCTTCCGGTCCTCTACCATCCTCTGGAGTCCATTTAAGCTCACGCCGACTGCTTCAGTGACTCCATCCAGCCACCTCGTTCTCTGCCGTCCCTTCTTCTTCTTTTGCCCTCCATCGTTCCCAGCATGAGGCTCTTCTCCAGTGAGCCCTTCCTTCTCATTAGGTGGCCAAAGGATTTGAGTTTCCTCTTCAGGATCTGGCCTTCTAAAGAGCAGTCAGGGTTGATCTCCTCTAGGGCTGACCGGTTTGATCACCTTGCAGTCCAAGGGACTCGCAGGAGTTTTCTCCAGCACCAGAGTTTTAAAAGTCGAAGGAGAAAGCCAAAGAGATGACCTCAATGTCTTCTCTAGCCTACTACATCTGCTGTCTGAGACACCCGAGAGATACACAACCTCACACAGAGCCAACAGACTGTTTTCCCTTCCCACATAAGCTGAATTAGCTTTTGTAGTCATTTTACAAAAAAAAAGGAAAGCAGAGTAGGTGTTTTTTTAAAAAACCTATATGCTTTAGGATGTATTGTCTATGTTAACGATGCTTAAAAACGATATTTATATGTTGTATGTTATGTGAATGTCATATATGTGTTATAATAAAATTACAAATTTTATAAAAAAAAAAAAGAGAGAGACATTACTTCAGTCCGAAGCAGCCGGTGAGTCAGGTTAGTAGAGACGTTACTACTTCATCTGTTATTCATCGGGGAGACAGACAATCTCTCCTTAATTTACTCCTCCCCATCTGTGCTTTACAGCCTGGAGGAGACAGAAAACGTGTGAATTTTTAAGTGAATATGTACAAAGGAAGGGGAAAAAATAATAATCAGAAAGCAGGAATGAAAATCTGCCATGGACTATGAATATCCTCTGAATCGACTCTGTGGGCAATTTTAAATTTAAGCGTCTGAGACTTTGCAAAGGAAAAGCTAACAGGTCATAGATTTTCTAGTTATTGTTTGTTTGTTTGTTTATTTATTCATTAGATTTATTTATTTATTAGATTTATTTATTTGTTAGATTTATATTGCCGCCTATTCGCCCATGGCGACTCAAGGCGGCTTACAGAATATAAAAAACTAAATTTAAAAATTTAAAGAATTTAATTTAAATTAATTTTAATTTAAAGAAATTAAATTTAAGAATTTAAAAAACTAAAACTCATAAAAAAATCAAATAAATTAATGTAATAAAATCACCCCTATTGGTGTTTATTGGTTCCAATATCTCAGGGGCTGCCCCAAAGAAGAGGGAGTCAAACTATTCTCCAAAGCACCGGAAGGCAGGACAAGAAGCAACAGGTGGAAACTAATCAAGGAAAGAAGCAACTTAGAACTAAGGAGAAATTTCCTGACAATGAGAATGATTAATCAGTGGAACAGCTTGCCACCAGAAGTTGTGGGTGCTCCAACACTGGATATTACAGTGATATAGGGCTTCCTGCTAGAGCAAGGGGTTGGACTAGAAGACCTCTAAGGTCCCTTCCAACTTTGTTATTCTATTATTTTGGTGTATGCACCACCTGAGCTGTTTGGCGAGAAGGGCGGCTACCCAAATCAAATACGCAAAAATCCATGTGCATTCTTGAGAGGAGGAGGGAAACTCAATCAACCGGAACCTTCCGTGGAAATCCAGAATATCAGGAATAAACTTTTAGGATGTCTTCTCCTTCAATGTCCTCCTTCAGAGACAACCCTGAGCAGTTTCTCCCCAGAAAGCACACGCTGCCTACCAGGGGCCCCTTTCCATTAAACCGAAAAAGCCAAACATTTCTTTTTTCTTTCTTTCTTTTTTGGTGAGGCCTGTAAAAAATCAACTCCTCCCCATCCACCCCCCTTTTGCTCCGACTCCTGCCAAACCGGAGGCAGGACTTTCTATTATTATTAATGTTTTTGGAATGCGTAGCTCTGTCCGTGCTCAGTACAATGTTTGTAGAGGTTTTCCTCCCGAAACATCGCAAGAGAGCAAACGGGGCAGCTTGGAGAAAGGTAAAAAAAGAAAGAGAACAATATTCCTTTTCCTGCCGTAGGTTCAGGGACCTTGTCATTATTTTCTGAGTGGGTGCTTTCCCGACCACCCACCCCCTCTCTGAAAGCTGGTTCTGGTTTTCTTCGGATTTCAGTTGCTCTCCCTTGCCGAGCGACGCTGCTTTAGGGCCAAGGATTGTGAAACTGGGAGAACGAAAACATCTGGGCTGATGGTGGGTTGTTGGTTTTTTTGCGTAGCGTACTTGAGGGAGGAGGGTAATGGCTGCAAAAATTGGAGGGAAGGAGTTAAGGAGCGGAAAGGGGACGAAATGAGATGTGCTTCTTTTTGGGGGGTTCTTCTGGTAACCAAACTTTGTAAAGTTTGCCTAGAGAAGATTCCCAGTTGTGATTCTCGATGGCTCCGATTAATGGCGAGAAATCGGCTGGATTTCAAGCGTGTTGAATCTGCCTCTCCAGATTTTTGCCGTCAATGCCAGCTAACGCCAGCTATTCCGCTAAGCTCAGTAGTGAAAAAATACTACAAGGAGAAGAGGTTCTCCTCCTTGGTCCTAACCTAGAGAGATGTCGAGGCCACCTTCCCCATCGTCCGTGGCTTATCAGATGGGATGGATTCTCGGCACACCTGGGGAAAGACAGCCTCTTAAATTATTCGTCGGTTTTGTGATCATTCTTACCAGCGGTGGGTTAGGATTATCTTACTATTGGCTCGCCGCACGTGTACATGCTCGCTTTGTGTGCGGGCGAGCCCGGTTCGTGTGCGCGCCTGCCTTCTGCGCATTCGCACAACCTTTGCTCACACAAATGCGCCCAGACTCATAAACATGCCTAAATAGAATGGCATAGAGCTGGGGTGGGCGGGCTCACCCGTGATTTGGGCCCATCTGTGATTTCTGCTACCGGTTCCGGCGAACCGGTCTAAACCGGCTAAATACCACCTCTGATTCATATTTTAGGGGGGAAAACACGTGAAGCAGTGGTTGTAGTTTTTGTAGGCAGCAAGCCAAGTGAAGAAACTGGTGGCCAAGACTCGAGAGAATTCACAGGAGGGTCTCTTGCAAGATCAGATTTATTAACTACAGCACCCTAGAAATTTAAGGTGCCCTGGTGAAAATCCCTATCCAGTCTCCTCTTTCACGGAAACCTATAAAGCAATAGAATGCCAGAGCATTGATGCTTGTGCCACCCACTCCTCAGAAGGCAGAACTTAACAGAATAAGAGAATTGGAAGGAGATCTTGGAGGTTTTCTAGCCCAACCCCCTGCTCAAGCAAGAAATCCTATCTCCGTGATGGCGAACCTGGGCATGCGAGCTCAGCTCTGGCGTGCATGTGCGTGCCGGCCAGCTGATTTTTGAGCCTTCTGAGCCCACCAAAAGTAGGGAAAAAGGCTGTTTCCTGCCTCTGGAGGGCCTGGGTGTGGGTGGGGAAGGCCTGTTTTTCTCACTCCCCAGGCTCCAGAAGCTTTCTAGGAGCCTGGGGAGGGTGAAAACAGCCTTCCTCACATTCCCGGAGGCTGGAAACGGCCCATTTGCCAACTTCTGGTGGGATCGGAAGTCGGCAAACCTGCCATTTCTGGCCTCCAGAGGGCCTCCCAGGTGGGGAAGACTATTTTTGCCCTCCCCAGGCTCCTAGAAGGCCTCTGGCGCCTGGGGAGAGAGAAAAATGGGCCTACTGTGCCCACCGTGCCATCACGTGCCAAAAGCAGTGGGAGCACAGGGGGTCGCGTGTGAATGCGCGGGGGCGGGGCGTGCCCACACCCATAGAACTATGGGTGTGGGCACGTGCGCGCGTGACTCTCCTGCACGACCCCCCACTTTTGGCACGCGATGGCAAAAAGGTTAGCCATCACTGCCCTATCCCATTTCTGACAAATGGCTGTCCAATCTCTTCTTAAAAACTCCAGTGTTGGAGCACTCACAACTTCTGCAGATAGCCTGAAGGTCTGCAGGGGCAGCCCTACACAAAATACATTGCAGTAGAGTAGCCACGAATTTCCAAAGCCTTGTCCAGTTAGTTCTACTTCTGGGCAAGAAGGCTTCTTAAGCAGCAAAGTCCAGGGCAAACAGTCCTGTTGTCAACTTGCAAAGCTTTTAATTTGCCATGAGCAGGAGGGAGGGAGAACTGAAGTGAATTCCATACATTCTTTCTGACCGCAATCAGAAGGAGGGTGTTAGGTTTCACAGCCAGCCAAAGTGGTTAATTGGAGAATGTGATTTATGACATGGCCAGAGAGGAGGGGAGAGACAGGGTCATAGGGGAACGTAAATCTACGTAGGATCAGTCCTAACTGCATCCAAGTATTGCCGGAATGTTGCTCCTAATAAATGACTATATTTCCTTTGAAGTTTGGATCATGGCTCATGAATTAATTAGGGCATCTTTCGGAAACTTGACACCTGTTGCATTAGTGGCAACCAAAATGTGTGACTTGAATTCCAAGATGCGGTTAACAGAAAAAATATTCCAGAAGACCTGAAATCCTGGCTTTACCGTCATCTGTTAGCTGCCGATTTCTACTCCCAAACTCCATGTGTTGGGATAAGCTCAGAATGAGGTTGCTGCCCTTGGGGAATGTGAAAGAAGAGAGTGTTGGAAAGGTGTTGTGGTGAGGTGTTGATGATCTATAAGAAAATTCTTCTTTTAGACACCGTCATCCTTTTTATGGCAAGGCACATTTTCAGCTAGACAAACGCTAATTGGCCGACGATATTTCTTCACAACAGAATTGTGAGATTAGGATAGCAGTTCAACAAGATGACAAAAGAAGCACACACTAATTGGGAATAGATTATTGTTTCTCAGTCTTGGTGACGTTAAGATGTGTGGACTTCAATTCCCAGAATTTCCTGGCTGGGGAATTCTGGGAGTTGAAGTCCACACATCTTAAAATTGCCAAGGTTGAGAAGCTGTGGTTTATGGGAATCATTTCTTGAGTTTATGCATTTATAGCAGGGGTGAAATCCAGCAGGTTCTGACAGGTTCTGGAGAACCAGTAGCAGAAATTTTGAGTAGTTTGGAGAACCGGCAAATACCACCTCTGGCTGGCCCCAGAGTGGGGTGGGAAAGGAGATTTTGCAATATCCTTTCCCCAGGAGTGGGGAGGGAATGGGGGTTTTGCAGTATACTACCCCTGGAGTGGGGTGGGAATGGAGATTTCGCAGTATCCTTCCCCTTGAGTGGGGAGGGAATGGAGATTTCGCAGTATCCTTCCCCTGCCACGCCCACCAAGCCACGCCCACAGAACCGGTAGTAAAAAAAATTGGATTTCATCACTGGTTTATAGAGCTAAACCAGAGTTGATTAATTAAGCAGCACAGGTGTGGGTTCACACAATATGAGAGCAACATGGAAATAAACCTTATGATATGAGAACCTAAAAGTAGGAGAGCTAGTAGTGGAAATTATAAACTGGATGCTATTCTACTTTAGATTTATGTCTTGGACTGCATGGTGGATGCAAAAGACTTATTTCGTAATAATTTTAAAATTGTGAGGAACTTTTCTTGATTAAAATTCAGTTGAAAGGTTGAAGGACATCCAGACAAGAAATAAATAGAAACCAGACTGATGTTTATCTATTTTTAGAGGCAGTATTCCTTGCTAGCTGCAATATATTTTTTGATGGCCATAGTTTTCTAACTATTATCACTTCATCCACTTCATTCATAAAGCCAATGAAATCCTAAATTACATTAACAGAGGGATACAATCAAGATCAAGGGAGGTAGTAATATCACTCTATAAAGCCTTAATAAGACCACACCTAGAGTACTGCATCCAGTTTGGTCACCACATTATAAAAAAGATGTTGAGACTCTAGAAAGAGTGCAGAGAAGAGCAACCAAGATGATTAGGGGACCAGAGACTAAAACATACGATGAACGGTTGCAGGAACTGGGCCTGGCTAGTCTAGTGAAGAGAAGGACCAGGGGAGACATGATAGCAGTCTTCCAATACTTGAGGGGCTGCCACAAAGAGGAGGGGGTCAAGCTGTTTTCCAAAGCACCTGAAGGCCAGACAAGGAATAATGGATGGAAACCAAACAAGGAGAGATTCAACCTGGAAACAAGGAGAAATTTTCTGACAGTGAGAACAATCAATCAATGGAACAGAAGTTGCCTTCAGAAGTTGTGGGAGCTTCATCAATGGAGGCTTTCAAGAAGAGACTGGACTGCCATCTGTCAAAAATGGTGTAGGGTCTGCTTGAGTGGGGGGTTGGACAAGATGACCTACAAGGCCCCTTCCAACTCTGTTAATCTGTAATCTGTCCAGTGTTGCTGTAATCTGTGTCCATTTTTTGCAGACATGCAACACAAGTTGAGCATGAATTTGTTTTCACACACAATTGTTGGGCAGAAGTCTTGATACCAGATTTGTTAGACTACCAAACTCCAGGTTGGTTCTCTCCACTTGACAAAAGAAAGGCTCATCAGGTGGTGCCCTTGTTCAACCTCAGGTGATATCACCCAGTTATAGGCCGATGGTTGGGTTGGACTAGATCTTAGAAGTATGGAAGGTAATCTCTACTGTTATTGTTTTGCAGCTAAATGAGGAGAAAGCAATGGATCCCTTCACCTGCTTACTAACCGCATTGCTCTTTGTGGGGATCCAGAGCTGCCCGGAGGTGTGTCGTTGTGTAGCGAAGCAGAAATACGAGCGATATGTTGCAGACTGTTCTTATCAAGATCTCCAGGTGGTTCCTCAGGACTTCTCCTCCAACACCACCACCCTCACCCTATCTGTCAACCACATTGCCACGCTGGGGGAAGAATCCTTCGCCAACATGGCAAAACTACAAGGTTTGTGGCTCTCCTACAATGAAATTGGCACCATCGCTGAGGGTACCTTTGCTTTTTTGGTACACCTCCGAGCTCTTGATCTCAGTCACAATCAGATTATGAACTTCCCCTGGGCAGACCTATCCAACCTCACATCTCTGCAACTGCTGAAGCTCAGCAACAACCATCTGGAGAAGATCCCTCCAGAAGCCTTTCAGTCCCTTAAGGATCTTCGTTCTCTCTGGCTCAGTGACAATCGGCTGGCTACCCTCTCGGACGGGACCTTCGGTTCCATGCCTAAGTTAGCTCAGCTGCAAATCAACAACAACCCCTTTGACTGCACCTGTAAAATCTGGTGGTTGGATGGATGGATCCAGAGCACCTTGGTTTCAATTCCAGAGAAGAAGTCCGTTACATGTGCCACGCCGGAGAAACAGAAAGGCCTCGTTCTTGGGAGATCGTTGAAGTTAGACTGCGCCCTTCCATCAGTGCAGTTGGTCTATCATTCCAGCTTGGGGGACAGTAAGTTGAAGGATGGGCTTACCCTTCAATTGCACTGCAACGCGGTCGGTAAACCCCCACCGAAGATCAGGTGGAAAATCCAGACAGTCGACCAACATGTGGCCATCGAAGGACCCAACGTTGAAAGAGAAGAGCATTTATTACTAGATCCTGCAGGTTCCTCGCCGAGCAGAGGGCGCTTCCTGGTCTTCAAAAATGGATCCATGGCGGTCACCAAATTCAGCAAGGCCAACGAAGGCATTTATACTTGCCAGGCCTATAATGATGTTGGGTCTCGTGAGGCTTTTGTCCACGTGGCTTTGGCCGGCTCTGAGAAGCCCACCACTTTCCTCAAGAACCATCTCCAAGCCAGCAAGAATCCAAACAAAAGTTGTGATGTGAAAGAAGTCCTGACATCTGAAGAAAATGTGAAGTTTGTCTATTTGACTCCTACCATGCCCAAGACTGTTTGCAATGGAGGAACTCAACGCCAGTTGGGTTTCGGGAGTTTATTTCTCTTCTGCTTGCTTGCCCATTACAGCTAAGGCATTTGCGAATCTGGCATCAGGTAGAAAATCTGACTTCTTTCTGTAGGTATGGCCCATGTCAGCTTTTAGTTTAAGCAAAAGTTTCACACTTCTGTTTTAAATGAAGAATCTTGATTTGAACTGGGGCAGGATTCCCCATATTGTCGAGTAAGAAAAGAAACGGTTAGACAGGCAGACAATGAGAAAAAAGTAAAAAAGATACTGATAGGCAACCCTTTGATTAGGTGAATAGAAGCAGTCCAAAATCTTGCAAGGATTTGAAAGTCCAGAACTGTTTCTCAGGAGGTAGGGGGAAAAAAAATAGAGGGAGGGGAAAAAAAAGCATCTCTTGTGGATGCTTATCTTGACTTGGTTGAAATGGTGGAGAGCTTTCAGAAATATAAGCTCAACCTTGTCAGATACAGAGTAGGGCGAGAAAGTAGACCTTAGAGATTTTGGCATACGATTCTCAGTTCTCACCTGCCACAATTTAAATCTCGAACTAGAAATGATCCTTGGCTCCATTTGTTGAGAAAGGTATAATTTTTATTACTCTGTTTCCCCGAAAATAAGACATCCCCTGATAATAAGCCCAATCAGGCTTTTGAACACATGCACTAAAATAAGCCTCCCCCCGAAAATAAGCCCCCTCCCCCAATATTCAAACACAGACCTGGAAATCAGGTAAGACGGCAAGAGGAGCCCCATCTTGCTCCACGCGCCCCAAAATAATAAGACCTCCCCGAAAATAAGGCCAAGCACTTATTTCAGGGTTCAAAAAAAAAATATATGACAGGGTCTTATTTTTGGGGAAACATAGTAGAGATCAAGTGTATTGCAGTATTGCATAGCCAGAACGGAGAATCGCATACCAAAATCCCTAAATTCTACTTTTCTCTCCCTTAACTGTTTCTCAGTGCCCACCCGGCATAACCAATCAGCTTTCAGGCAAGATATTTTCATAATGATCAGTCCTAGCAGAGTTTGGTATGGAGCTCCCTCCTTCTTCCAGCTGGGTGACGTTGAGGCAGCATCTTAAGGAGACCCAGCACTTACTTTCATTTCCCCAAGCTTTCCCCCTCTCCACAGTTTATGGAAGTCTGTCACCGTATAGTAGTGAAGCACAAGCCAGCGTAGGGTGGCAGCTGACAGTCTCTTCCAAAACATCTGGAGGAGAAGCACGCAAGGGATGGTCTACGCATTCTCCAGATTGAGAAATGGAAAATCTAGCTACATTCTTCCAAGTCAAAGGTGGTGTATTTCTGGAAGCCTCCTTCTATTCCTGCTCTCTGATCTTTTAAACAGGTGAGACCTGGAAAAGATCTTTTGCAGCAAATCAGAGGCTGTACAAGGACCAGACTACAAATACACATTTCTCTTATCCAGTTTTATTTTTTTTTAAAGTCCCAACATCATCAAAACAACCTCTCCATCAAATGCTTCCTTCCAGCTTATGACGTACGACGGGCCAAGAGAGATGCCTCTGAAGGGCAGGAGAAGAAGACAAAAGCACATCTTCTCTAAGAGACTAACAATGAGGTTTCATTTATTATTCATCGTAGTAGAAATCAGGTTTCTGTATTCTTTAATTACTCTACGTTCACTAGGTGTGCGGAAGTCATCTGGCCAGCTCTTGAAATTGGAGCTGTTTTAAATTTAAAGGAGAATGGTCGGGAACCCTATTTGGTCAAGATAAGAATGAGGAGAAGTAACTCCATAACTAGACACAAATGTCAAAAAGACACAACTATGTAAGGACTTTCTCAATATAACCTGTCAGAACTGGAGGGATTAAAAAGTCTGTGGCTTTTGTTTCTTTCTTGTGCATATATTTTGATCGTCCAGCTTCTTCTTCTTCTTCGTCTTCTTCTCCTCCTCCATATTTATAATACAACTCTTTTAATTCCAGGAATGGTGGCTGCTCTGTTAAACATCTAGACAACGTGGAGCAATGTATGTGGGAATTTAAACAAGATAAAAACAGCCTGTTCAATGCATTTATACAAATTCTCCATCTCAAACACCACCCACCGCTAACATTCAAAAAGAGCCCCTTATGTACATTTGCAAAAAAACCTTGAAATCCCCATTTTGGGGACCACTCCGGTCTCTGTTCTGCTTTTAACCCCTAAGCCTATCGTCCTTAGCTTTCTTTCTTGCCAAAAGTGAGCTCCCCCCAAGATTTAGGGTGCACTCAGGCCACTTCAAGGAGGCCTCGAAACCCAAGATGTGTGAAGGGCAACATCAACAGGTTTTCCATGTTAAAACAAAACAAAACAGGAGGACACACACATCTAAGGAACGTCTTGTTATTATAGAGAGAAAAAGACCAGCTTTGGATCAATTTCAAAACTTTGCTTTGGATTTAATGCCCATCAAGGGTTGTTTGTCCTGGGGTGGGGTGGGATGGGAAAGGAAAGGAGGACAACTAAGCCTCTTGTCATCTTCTAAAGTCTACAAACAGGTCAGGGTAGACGCAGAAGCCGGAAAGAAGAAGTTGAAGAAAACTCGTGATGGAATCCATCCATCATCTCCGGATGGGAGTCCATTGTTTCCAAGGAACCTTGCCGGTTCCATCAAGGCTTAGTGAGGCTAGCTTTGGTCCCGTTAGCTGTTGCATCCACAAGGGCCCCTTTGCGATAGGGCAGCAGGGAAGGGTTGTTGAGGAGGGTGTACGCCAGGTGCCATCGGACTCGGTTCTGTTGGCCCTTTGATGCTTTGGGTGCTGAATTGGTGGTCTTCATGAGTTTGATTCCTATTGAGGAGGAAAAAAAAATCAGGTTAAAACCGGTGTTCTTAAAAGGTTATGTGAGGGTCAGCTTGAAGATAATCAGGAAAGGCATTCGGGAGAAGCAGAGAACAAGTAGGGAGTGTCATTCGATAACTTTGTTTCATGCAATCTGATTCCAGGCTTAAAAAGAAAACCTTGTTAAGTTAGAGAAAGAATAGAATAGAATAGAATAGAATAGAATAGAATAGAATAGAATAGAATAGAATAGAATAGAATAGAATAGAATAACAGAGTTGGAAGGGACCTTGGAGGTCTTCTAGTCCAACCCCCTGCTTAGGCAGGAAACCCTACACCACTTTAGACAAATGGTTGTCCAACATCTTCTTAAAAACTTCCAGTGTTGGAGCATTCACAACTTCTGGAGGCAAGTCGTTCCACTGATTAATTGTTCTCACTGTCAGGAAATTTCTCCTTAGTTCTAAGTTGCTTCTCTCCTTGGTTAGTTTCCATCCATTGTTTCCTCTCGTGGCCATCTGTTAAAGATAGTCTTATGGATCCTGCACCGAGGAGGTGGTGGACTAGACAGTCTCTATGGGACTTGATGGCCTGTCTAGGACTACGAATGATCCTATGAATGACTCATAACCCCATACCCTAACCTACTTATTTAGATCTTTGGATTTTTATTAAGAAGGAAATTACAAGGAAGTAGACATGATACTGTTTCATTCTTTGAGTCAATCAATCAGTCAGAATAGAGCTGGAATGGACCCTGGAGGACCCCTATTTAAACAGGAAACCCTACACCACTTCAGACGAATGGTTACCCAACGTCTTCTTAAAAACTTCCAATATTGGAGCATTTACAGCTTCTGTAGGCAAGTTGTTCCATTGATGAATTGTTCTCACTGTCAGGAAACTTCTCCTTAGTTCTAAGTTGCTTCTCTCCTTGATTAGTTTCCACCCATTGCTTCTTGTCCTGCCCTCAGGTGCTTTGGAGAATAGCTTGACTCCCTCTTCTTTGTGGCAGCCCCTGAGATGGGAGGGGAGGGGCAAGGTGGGTGGGGTCAGCCAGTCCTTGGAACAACCGGTTCGGCGAGCCAGATTAAAATTAACATCCGGTTTGCCCAAACTAGTCCGAACCGTCTAAATCCCACCTCTTCTGTTCCTGGACTCGATCCTCAGATGATCTCTTACCTTCTTCTGCATCTCTGAGCTGGAGAGTCTGCATATTTTGGGCGCCATGCCAATGGAGAAGCAAGAGGCAAAAGGCTTTCATTGCTGGGTGTGATTGGCTGACCTCGATTTTCAAATATTGGCAGTAGGTACGGTAGCCTGCAAGAAAGAGATGCACGGGTGGTGACAGGGGTCAGATGAAGAGGAGGGGTGGGAGTCAGGGTCAGCATCAAGGCAAACTGAGAGCTCCGAGGGGAAAGAGGGAATGGAGCTGGCAGAGAGAGAGAGACAGAGGCGGAGCCTGGGCCGTCCATCAGCCTCAGATGGAGGGTCAACAGCCCCCAGGTCTGGAGGTGGCTGATGAGGAAGAGGAGGAGCAGCTGGGTCCAGTGCCTGACACGCAGATGCGCAGAAGGAGAGAGGCAGAGGAGAGGAGAGCAGTGGAAATCTATGGGCCGGTCCTTTTCATCTCCCCTGCCGGACAAACTTTTTGCTGGGGCTGCTGGCGCTCCTAATAAAGGGAACATTTATTTAACTACAGAGGTTTTGTCATTTTTGGGAGCCGAGGCAGAACAGGTGGAACAAAAGGAAGAGAAGAGAGGGGGAGAGGTCAAAATTTCAGGGCGTTAGAGCAGACACCGACAAAGACACGACGGACAAGGAGACAAAGTCATAACATGACAAAGTCATATTGGGAAGCTCCCGAGTCAGGTTTATTTCGTGTTTGGCCAGCAACCACCTTTAAAGCTGCCCATAGAGTTGAAAAAAGATTTGCATAGATACAACAGTTTGTTTAACGACCATTTGAAATGGCAACAGCCCTGGAAAAAGAGACTTACGACCATTTTTCACATTGCATTATCCCCACGGTCACATGATCAAGATTCAGAGGCTTGGCAACTGCCTCGTATTTATGACGGTTGCAATGTCCTGGGGGTCGTGTGATCCCCTTTTGCGACCTTCTGATGAGTAAAGTCAACGGGGAATGCCAGATTCATTTAACGACCCTGTGTGACTAACTTAACAACTACAGCAGTTCACTTAACAACGGTGGCAAGAAAGGTCGTAAAAGGAGGCCAAACTCCCTTAACTGTCTCGTTTAGCAACAGAAATGTTGGGCTCCATTATGGTCGTAAATCGAGGACTACCTGTATGATAAGTGAAATACGTGTCCTTCAAGGAAGGTGTTCCATGATGTCCTAACCTTCTACGTCTACGGAGACTGTCAATCATTCAGGTCATGGTTGTCCCAAAGGTGATTTTTCCAAAAGGCAACTGGGATTTTTTGTTATTTTTTTTTCTTTGAAAACATTTTGCTTCTCATCCAAGAAGCTTCTTCTGTTCTGGATGAGAAGCGAAAGATTTTCACAAGGGGAAACCCCCCCCCCCCAAGAAAATCCAGTTGCCTTTTGAGAAAAGCATCTTTGGGGCAATCATGACCTGGACGTTAGAGACTCTCAGTAGACATTTTGCATTAGCTCACAACCAGCGGTGAAATCAGGCCAGAGCTATCTGGCTTGTGCAAACTGGTAGAGCCGGCGGCAGGAGACTCCGCCCACCTGCCGGGACATCATTATGTCCGTTCGCTCGTGGGCATGAGCGTGCTTGCGCACACGTGCAACACTTCTGTGACACTTCTGCACATGCAGAACCGTCCGGGCGGGTTGGTGGAGCCTCCCGCCGCTACCAGTTCGCCAGATCCGGGGCAAACTGGTAGCAACCCACCTCTGTTCCATAGACTTCATATGATATGTGAACGGAGTTCTCTGCATCATGAACAAAAGGGAAGGATGCAACCAGGACAACAGGGGCTGGTTTTAGGAGGGAGGGGTCTTGTATTTCTTACCTGGATCAAAGCCCTCCACCCCACGGCTCAGCAGACTCCCATCCAACTGGCACAAATGTACAATATTATAAAGAGCCGAGATCACCATTCTCCAGATTCCTGCCATTAAGCCCAGGAGCACATTGACGGGGAAAAACATGTATGTCACAATGTAAAACGCTCGCCTGCATAAGAGGGAAGCAGAGACGGTCATGAGTAAAGCACACAAACGCACACACGGACGTACACAAGTGGCTGCAGCAATATTTATTTATTTTTATTTGATTTGATTAAATTTCTATACCACCCTTCTCCCGAAGGGCAGTGAACAGCCACAAGATAAAACACATAAATACAAAAATTTAAAATAAGTTAAAAATGAATTAAATAATTTGGCTGAATTTAAAATACCCCGTAATTTAAAACAAATTAAAATTTACATTTAAAAAAGGGGAGAAGATTTAGGCCAGGCCAGCTTGATGGAATAAAAAAGTCTTAAGCGCGCGACGGAAAGTGCGCAGATCCGGGATCCTCCGTATCTCCGGGGGGAGCTCGTTCCAGATCGTAGGTGCCCCCACAGAGAAGGCTCTCCCCCTAGGGGCCGCCAGTCGACATTGTTTGGCCGACGGCACCCGGAGGAGCCCCTCTCTATGGGAGCGTACTGGCCGGTGGGAGGCTATTGGTGGTAGCAGGTGGTATCATAATAAACGTCCAGGTAACCTCAAAGGCCAATGATGAGGGCTCTCCATATTACCTCATTTTTCTATGATGAATGGTTTTCAATAATCACCTGTTGGTCAGCTCTCTGGGCAGATGGTCCCGTTCCAGAAAGTAGTAGCGGACCAGCAGATTCTGGACAATGAGTGACACAACCAAGGTCAACCAGAAGGGCCTAGGAAAAACCAACATCACCCATCATCCAATGAATGAATGTCCAATTTTACTGAAAGCAACAATTTGGGGGGGGATACAGTAGTGGTTCTAATCATCACATTCGAAGCTAGGGTGATGTCGGGGAAAACGATTGTCATCTAGACTCAATAACTGCATAAAGAAACATGAAAGAGATACTGCCAAGCTTGGCATTTTTTAGTTCAGGGAGATAGGTGGATAGTTCAATAGATGGGTTGAGACCAGGGGTGGGGCTGCTGTGGGTTCACAGGGGTTCGGGAGAACCTCTAGCTAAGATTCTGTGCAGTTCGGAAAACTGGCTGGCCCCACCCACCCCACCCCTCCCAGGAGTTCCCACATGGCCCATTTTGGATGCAGATAAGTGCAGGGTACACGCGGAAGCTCGGGGAGGGCAAAAAACGGGCCTACCAGAAGTTCAGAAAGGCCAGAAACGGGCCTGTTTCCAGCCTCCAGAGGGCCTCCGGAGCCTGGGGAGGCTATTTTTGCCCTCCCAGAGGTTCAAGGAAAGTCTACAGAGCCCGGGGAGGGCAAAAATGATCCTCCCCACCATGGTGCAGGAGGCTGATTAGGCCACGGCCACCATGGCCACGCCACACCCAGCAACCAGGCAGAGAACCCCTTGCTAAAATTTTTGAAGTCCACCCCTCTTAAAGGGACCTCTTAAAGTTCATAGGGGTCTGGTCTAGCAGATGAATCACACTACACCTTCCATGTTTGGGTCTTACCACAAGTTCACCACGATTTTGAAAAGATGCATGTTGCTGCCGGACTGCAGTGGGACAATTATCAGGAAGGCGAAACACAGGATGCAAATGAAGAAGACAATGTGTTGGATGAGCAGAGCTGGGACAGAGACAAAAAGGCCCCATGGATTGCAAGGAAGATCACAGATGGACATCAGTTCTAACCGTGGGACCACCATCACCTCTTCCCAGCTGCACCCTTTCCACTCTTTGGCCCAGAAGGTGGAGTATAAGGTCGGAAAAATAATAAAGACTCCCTCACGTCAACTTTGACTCTTAGTGGACATGAAGACACATCCATGCAGTTTTCTTGGCAACAGTATGGATGTGGTTAGCCATGACTTTCTTCCAGGACGTTCTTTTCAACTTACTACTCTTTACTCCCACCTTGTAAGGTGTGATTAGGGCTCCTCAGTTACCTAGGCAGGCAAAGGATATCTGGAAACCCGTGAATTGCATCCAGCATACGAGAGATTGCTGGGAAGGTTGGAGTTTACAGGAACGATGGAAAATATTTTCAACAGCCCCTCGGTAGAGACACTGGAGATTAGTTCTGAAACACAGGAAGAACATGAAATCAGGAGGAGGAGGAGGAGGAGGAGGAGGAGGAGGAGAGGAGGAGGAGGAGGAAAAGGAGAGGGAGAAGGAGGAGGAGGAAAAGGAGGAGGAAAAGAAGAGTGAGGAGGAGGAGAAGAGGGAAAAAGACAGGGAAAAGGAAGAGGAGATAGAGGAGGAGGAGATAGAGAGGAGAGGGAGAGGGAGAAGGAGGAGGAGGAAGAAGAAGGAGAAGGAGGAGAAGATAGAGGAGGAGGAGGAAAAGGAGAGGGAGAAGGAGGAGGAGGAGGAGGAAGAGGGAAAAGGAGAGGGAGAGGGAGAAGGAGGAGGAGGAAGAAGAGGGAGAAGGAGGAGGAGATAGAGCAGGAGGAGGAAAAGAGGGAGAGGAGGAGGAGGAGAGGGAGGAAGGGAGAAGGAGGAGAGATAGAGGAGGAGGAAAAGGAGAGGGAGAAGGAGGAGGAGGAAGAGGGAAAAGGAGAGGGAGAAGGAGGAGGAGATAGAGCAGGAGGAGGAAAAGGAGAGGGAGGAGGAGGAGAAGAGGGAAAAGGAGAGGGAGAGGAGGAAGATAGAGCAGGAGGAGGAGGAGAGGGAGAGGAGGAGGAGGAAGAGGGAAAAGGAGAGAGAAGGAGGAGAGATAGAGCAGGAGGAGAAAAGGAGAGGGAGAAGGAGGAGGAGGAAGAGTAAAGGAGGAGAAGGAGGAGAGATAGAGGGAGGAGAAAAGAGAGGGAGAAGGAGAGGAGGAGAGGGAAAAGGAGAGGGAGAAGGAGGAGGAGATGAGTGAGGATTGGTTTGGACCTTTGAACGAAGAGGTCTCACCTATGGTTTCCCAAGGACTTCATTAACATGCAGAAGGTCACCAGGCAGGAGAGGACCAGGGAAGAGATGAAGCAGACTGCAAAACAAGAATGGGCAGAGAGGGATCCAGAAAAAGGCTGACAGTCTCTCTGTCTTACCAGGTCATCTACTCCACACACACCTGGTCCTCTGAAGCCTTTACGAGTGCAAACATCAGCAGATCTTTCTGCTGTCTCTCGGCGCTGCTTGTTTCTTACAATCTGCCTCAACCTTTGACAGTTTCCTGATGACATTCTTTTTTTTTAAAAAAAGAAAACATCCCACGCATCTTGGACCTTAAAATTCCAGGAAGTTTTGCAGACCGTGAAACATCTCTGAAATTTATTCTATTTTCTCCAGGGACTTGTAAAAAATGCCTTGGCTCCCATGTTCAGTTTAGCCTTGGTCCAGACATCTATTTTAAGGCCTGGATAACTAAAGCCCCATCTTTCGCAGGAAAAAACAGGCACTCGTTCAGATTTGCAAAAAAAAGCACATCTGAGCCCAACTACGCTTGCCAACATATGTTAAATATTAAAGACGTAGGAAACCCTGATTCAGACCTCTGATTTGAAGGCTACTTGACTGAGTCACCCATTCGTTTGAGCGGAATTGCGGAATCAAATTGCGGAATCAAATTGCAACAGCATCACTCTAAATTACTGTATTTTTCGGAGTATAAGATGCACCTTTTCCCCCCTCCCTCAAAAGTGGGTGAAGTCGGCTGCCTTGTGACTCACTACTTTATTCCCTATGGGACAAAATTGTTTGGTAATCATCAATTCTTCTTGGAACCAATTAACCGATGAGTATCAAGGTATCACTGTATATTTTTTATATTGCTGGGGGAAGTGAGACAATCAAGAATAAGCAAGCATTGTCGTTGCTTGTTGAATTCCTTCTCAAGATTGATCATCGAATTTCTTCTAAGTAGATGTCACCTTGCTCTGCTCTGTTTTGAGTTTCACATTAGAAATACAGAGTTGGAAGGGATCTTGGAGGTCTTCTAGTCCAACCCCCTGTTTAGGCAGGAAACCCTACACCACTTCAGACAAATGGTTATCCAACATCTTCTTAAAAACTTCCAGTGTTGGAGCATTCACAACTTCTGGAGGCAAGTTGTTTCACTGATTAATTGTTCTCACTGTTAGGAAGATTTCTCCTTAATTCCAGGTTGCTTCTCTCCTTGATTACTTTCCACCCATTGCTTCTTGTCCTGCCCTCAGGTGCTTTGGAGAATAGCTTGACTCCCTCTTCTTTGGGGCAGCCCCTGAGATACTGGAACGCTGCTATCATGTCTCCCCTAGTCCTTCTTTTCATCAAACTAGACATACCCAGTTCCTGCAACCGTTCTTCATGGGTTTTAGCCTCCATTCCCCCAATCCTCTTTGTTGCTCTTCTCTCTTTCTAGAGTCTCAACATCTTTTTTACATCGTGGCGACCAAAACTGAATGCAATATTCCAAGTGTGGCCTTACCAAGGCATTATAAAGTGGTATTAACACTTCCCGTGATCTTGATTCTATCCCTCTGTTGATGCAGCCTAGAACTGTGTTGGCTTTTTTGGCAGCTGCTGCACACGGCTGGCTCCTATTTAAATGGTTGCCCACTAGGACTCCAAGATCCCTCTCACAGTTACTACTCTTGAGCGAGGTACCACATATACTGTACCTGTGCATTTTAGTTTTCTTGCCTAAATCTAGTTCGTGGAGTTCCTGGACCTAAGTCTTGCATCTTGCAAGAACTCTTCATTCTAGCTGCAGTTGGCCAAATGTTGTAATGGACACTGTTGTCCAAGGTTTGAAGAAACATACCTTCCAGTGACCAGATGTAGTGCTTAACTGTTGCCAACTCTTTGTCTCCGGGAATATTGGCAGGCTTTTCAGAAGGAATGAGTCCAAATTGGACAAAGAGCGCTGTCATTTCTTTTGTCATCCCAGCTCTTATGATCTGGATGTTGGGGATGAAGGATGCAAGTAGAAGAAGGGACACCTGCAAACCAGGAGAATACAGATAAGGCTGGTCCTACCACAGGTGGACAGGTTGAGAAGAAACTCTGGTGTACCTTACCTGGTAGACAGCTATCACAGCCATAGCTAGAGAGAGGGCCAGCTTCAGTGGAATCTGGAAACCTGCAATCACAAAACCATAGCTAATATATCAAGAAGCATATTCTGATTGGTAGAAGATGAGCCCCTGGTCTTTCAAAAACTTGCTAGCTAAATTTTGTCCATTGGGGATGTTTTTAGGGTTAATGAGACTTGAGGTACAACAGACCGGGGTGAAATCCAGCAGGTTCTGACAGGTTCTGGAGAACCGGTAGCGGAAATTTTGAGCAGTTCAGAGAACCGGCAAATACCACCTCTGGCTGGCCTCAGAATGGGGTGGGAATGGGGATTTTGCAGTATCCTTCCCTGCTACGCCCACCAAGCCACACCCACCAAGCCACAACACGCCCACCAAGCCATGCCCACAGAACTGGTAGTAAAAAAAAATTGGATTTCACCACCGCAACAGACCCAGATGAGTTCAATACATGGATTGTGTCAGTGGTGAAATCTGAACTGGTTTGCTACCTGTTCTCTGGCTTTGCATGCGCAGTGCGCGCCAAAAGGAGGCTTGGGAAGGTAACTAGAACAGCGAGGTGTGGGTGGGGGGATCAGCTGTGCTGCATGATTTAGCTTTGCTAGAAAGCAGGATTTCCGTGCGGCACAGCTGATCGTCGGAAATACCAGTTCGGAGAACCGGTAGCTTTTTTAAACTACCGCTTTGCCCGAACTGGTAGCTTTTTTTTTTTTACTACTGATTCGTTCGAACTGGTAGTGTTTATCACTCCCGGTTTGCCCGAACCAGAGTGAACCGGTAGCATTTCACCCCTGGATTGTGTTGAAAAACAGGGCCATAATGAGAGAAGGAGAAAGTCAAAAGAGATATAGAACTTCTCGGCAGAACTCCTCGCTCCGGAACTCATGTGGCCGTCATGAAGATGTAGATGTTCTGCAGATCTTTCCAGAACAACCACCAAACTAGAGTGGCAGTGAAAAAAACCCACAACAATCTACCCTAAGCCCTTCCAATATCTTCTAAGAACCTACTGAAAAAGAATATATATATATATTTAAACGCAGTACCTTCTTGGGGTATGTAGACAAATGTACGCAGGTAGGATTGGAGGCTCGAACGCATGCTCGGCTTCACTCCGTTGATGCTGAAAGAAGAAGTTCAGAAGAGCTGCCATAAATGCAACGCTGGTCTTCACCAACCCTTGTTTTTGGGATGCTCCAGTTCTTGGGTGCTCAAATGGAGGTCTCACCTTTTCCTGGGTGTTCTTTTAGCCAGGATGTGCTTCAAGTATTCTTCATAATAGCTACTTCCTGGAGCCTTCAAGCAAACAAGGAAGCACTCAAGATGAGATTCCAATAATTGGGGGGGGGGGCTTTGCTAAATCCATGAAATCCATACTCTTCCCCTTCCAGATGTTGCCCCCTCCCTCCCCTCCATTTTTTAAAAAGGCAGTACTGCCTAGTTGAGAATGCTAGTTGCAGAAGATTAGCAGATCCATAGAAGAGAATGTGTATATCTCAGGGTTGAATTATGGGGTCCTTGGTGCTCGCTCAGCTTGCTTGTTTTCTTGTGGACGTTTCATGACCCAACTACCGTATTTTTCGGAGTATCAGACGCACCTTAGTTTTTGGGGAGGAAAATAAGAAAACAGCTGATTGGCAGGTGGATCGGCCTCCCGGAATACCCCCAATCAGCTGTTCCCAGAGGTGAATTTTAGTAACAGGCTCCTTGGTTGTGAGCTCTGTGCCTTGCTTTTTTTTGCTTTTTTTCCTGCCTCTGAAACTTCTGAAACACTGTTTCAGAAAAAACTTTTTCCTGCCTCTGAAAGCCTCCGAAACAGAGCTTCAGAGCTTTTTTTTTTTTCTGAAGCTCTGTTTGGGGGCTTTTTTTCTGAAGCTCTGTTTGGAGGCTTTTTTTCTGAAGCTCTGTTTGGGGGCTTTTTTTCTGAAGCTCTGTTTGGAGGCTTCTTTTCTGAAGCTCTGTTTGGAGGCTTTTTTTCTGAAGCTCTGTTTGGAGGCTTTTTTTCTGAAGCTCTGTTTGGAGCTTCTTTTCTGAAGCTCTGTTTGGAGGCTTTTTTTCTGAAGCTCTGTTTGGAGGCTTCTTTTCTGAAGCTCTGTTTGGGGGCTTTTTTTTTCTGAAGCTCTGGTGGGGGCTTTTTTTTCTGAAGCTCTGTTTGGAGGCTTCTTTTCTGAAGCTCTGTTTGGAGGCTTTTTTTTCTGAAGCTCTGTTTGGGGGCTTTTTCTGAAGCTTTGTTTCTGATACTTTTTTCTGAAGCTTCGTTTCTGATGCTTTTTTCAGCCTCTGAAACATCTGATTGAGAAGCTGGGCAGGGCTACATTCGGAGTATAAGACGCACCCAGATTTTCACCCTCTTTTTGGGGGGGAAAAGGTGCATCTTATACTCCGAAAAATACGGTAGGTATCCTGATCAGTGTGAGTGAGTGTGGGGTCTGTTTCCTGTTTATATTCAGTAGCTCGCCCTGTGGCCAGCACCCAACAACTAATATCCAGAGAAGCAGGGATTAACATCAGACAATCAAACCACCAGAAAAAAATACCCTAACTAAGAGGAAACCATATACCCCACCAACACTGAAAGAAGAAGCCACTATATATTAACAGGGAGCAAGTCACACTCACTAGCACTGAAGAAGTTACCTAGTTGGGTAATGAAACGTCTCCAAGCAAACAACCCTGGTCACCAAGGATTTAAACTTAGAAGAACTTTGACTCAGAATAATCTTTTTGTCACTTTAAATGTACGCTATTCGGCATACATTAAAATGAAATCTCATTGCATAAATTGTTATTCTAACCCTGACGAAGTTGCAAAGCTGCCTTTCACGGCCTTTTTCTCCTGCATTCCTCACCGTGATTTTTTTTGTTGCAAGATAAATAAAATGAAAGAAATAGGCCTGTTTCTGCCACCCCTTTTTGGGTCTCTCTAGAGCCATCTGCTCCGCGAGCCGTATTTTCAGTTGCAATGGTGCGTAATTACTTGGAGGAGATGTTGCACAGTCCAATGGCGGGGGGTTTGTTGTGGTTGTTCAGGGTCGGTATGGGGTGTTGGGACTGGTTTTTCTGTGTTGTGCGGGGATTGAAGCTCTGTTTGGAGGCTTCTTTTCTGAAGCTCTGTTTGGAGGCTTCTTTTCTGAAGCTCTGTTTGGAGGCTTTTTTTCTGAAGCTCTGCTTGGGGGCTTTTTTCTGAAGCTTTGTTTCTGATACTTTTTTCTGAAGCTTCGTTTCTGATGCTTTTTTCAGCCTCTGAAACCTCCGATTGAGAAGCTGGGCAGGGCTACATTCGGAGTATAAGACGCACCCAGATTTTCACCCTCTTTTTTTGGGGGAAAAAGGTGCATCTTATACTCCGAAAAATACGGTAGGTATCCTGATCAGTGTGAGTGAGTGTGGGGTCTGTTTCCTGTTTATATTCAGTAGCTCGCCCTGTGGCCAGCACCCAACAACTAATATCCAGAGAAGCAGGGATTAACATCAGACAATCAACCAACCAGAAAAAAATACCCTAACTAAGAGGAAACCATATACCCCACCAACACTGAAAGAAGAAGCCACTATATATTAACAGGGAGCAAGTCACACTCACTAGCACTGAAGAAGTTACCTAGTTGGGTAATGAAACGTCTCCAAGCAAACAACCCTGGTCACCAAGGATTTAAACTTAGAAGAACTTAGACTCAGAATAATCTTTATTGTCACTTTAAATGTACGCTAATCGGCATACATTAAAATGAAATCTCATTGCATAAATTGTTATTCTACCCTGACGAAGTTGCAAAGCTGCCTTTCCCGGCCTTTTCTCCTGCATTCTCCCCGTGATTTTTTTTTTTTAGCAATAAATAAAATGAAAGAAATAGGCCTGATTCATGCCACCCCTTAAAAATGTCTCTCATAATCTCCATCTGCTCCGCGAGCCGTAATAACAGTTGCAAAGGTGCTAATTACATGGCTGCGCAGATGCCCGACCACATCTGGTGTGAAAGAAGAGGAAGAACGGGACTGTCATTCTGAGAATTGTGAGGAAAAGAGAGAAGACTGGGCACACAATGAGAAATCTCTCTCTCTCTCTTCTCTCTCTCTCCCTTCCATCTCCCTCCCTCCCTCCCTTCCTCCCTTCCATCTCTCTCCCTCTCTCCCTCCCATCTCTCTTCCTTCCGTCTCCCTTCCTTCCTTATTCCCTCCCTCCCTCCCATCTTCCCTCCTCCCTTCCATCTCCCTTCCTTCCTTCCTCTCTCCCTTCCATCTCCCTCCCTCCCTCCCTTCCTTCCTTCCTTCCTTCCTTCCTTCCTTCCTTCCTTCCATCTTCCTTCCTTCCTCCCTCCCTCCCTTTCATCTCCCTCCCTTCCATCTCCTTTCCTCCCTCCCTCCCTCCTTTTCATCTCCCTCCCTTCCATCTCCATTCCTTCCTCCCTCCCTTCCTCCCTCCATTCCTTCCTCCCTCCCTCCCTCCCTCCCTTCCATCTCCCTCCCTCTCTCCCTCCCATCTCTCTCCCTTCCATCTCCCTTCCATCTCCCTCCCTCTCTCCCTCCCATCTCTCTCCCTTCCATCTCCCTCCCTCTCTCCCTCCCATCTCTCTTCCTTCCATCTCCCTTCCTTCCTTATTCCCTCCCTCCCTCCCATCTTCCTTCCTCCCTTTCATCTCCCTTCCTCCCTCTCTCCCTTCCATCTCCCTTCCTCCCTCCCTCCCTCCTTTTCATCTCCCTCCCTTCCATCTCCGTTCCTTCCTTCCTTCCTCCCTCTCTCCCATCCATGTCCCTTCCTTGCTTCCTCCCTCCCTCCCTTCCATCTCCCTCCCTCTCTCTCGCTCTCTCCCTTCTTTTCATCTCAGGGTTGTATAAACGGTTGAATTTGGTGAAACCCCAAAACCGCATGCCAATTTCCAGGGAGAGGCACCAAAAGCATTTCTCTGACTACTGTTGGTTTGCAAAGCAGGGATTTCTTACACAACAGTCCGAGTTGTGCCAACAGCCTGATTTTTTTTTTAATACAACTGTACAATAAGGCCTCAGTTCTCCTCTGAACGAGGGACATTAAGACTCAAATCTTCTTGGGCTGAGAGGTCGGATTGACACAAATAAATCAACAAGAGGCCATTAGGGGGAAAAAAACAGATTTTTAAAAAAGCAAAAAACCACAGTTCTCTCTCTCCTACATTTTGGATGTAGTTCATACAGGTAGTCCTCGACTTACAACCATTTGTTTAGTGATGATTTGATGTTACAATGGCAGTGAAAAAAGTGAATTGGGACCGTTTTTCACACTTATGACCATCGCAGCACCTCATTCAGGCTGGACCTTGGATCCTTTTGGGCTGGAGAGAATTTTAAAAGCCTCCTTTTCCTAATTGAACTTTCCTTGAGCAATACAAGTGGAAGCAAATCCTTTCACTTACAACAGTCCGCTTAGTGACCGTTCAAAATTACAACGTCACCGAAAAAAAGGGAAACTATGACCGGTTATCACAGTAATGACCATTGCATCAACTCCATGGTCACATGGTTGAAATTCAGGCGCTTGCCAACTGACTCATACTTATGACCGTTTCAATGTCTCCCAAGGTCACGCAATCCCCTTTTTGCGACCTTCTGACAAGCAAATCCAACGGGGAAGCCAGATTCACTTAATAACCGTGTTACTAGTTTAACAGCGGCAGGGATTCACTTAACCAATGTGGCGAGAAAAGTCGTAAAATGGGCCAGAACTCACTTAACAAATGTCTCACTTAGTAAACGTAAAATATGGGGCTCAATTGTGATCGTAAATTGAAGATTACCTGTATTTAAGAATGGTAAAGGTAAAGTTAAAGGTTCCCCTCACACATATGTACTAGTTGTAGTACATATGTACTAGTTGTAGTACATAGTTGTACTCCTGACTCTAGGGGCCGGTGCTCATCTCCGTTTCAAAGCCGAAGAGCCAGCGCTGTCCGAAGACGTCTCCGTGGTCATGTGGCCGGCATGACTCAACGCCAAAGGTGCACAGAACGCTGTTCCTTTCCCACCAAAGGTGGTCCCTATTTTTCTACTTCCATTTTTTACCTGCTTTCGAACTGCTAGGTTGGCAGAAGCTGGGACAAGTCACGGGAGCTCACCCCGTTACGAGGCACTAGGGATTCGAACTGCTGAACTGCCGACCTTTTGATCGAGAAACCACAATCTTAGCCACTGAACCACCGTGTCCCGCATAAGAATGGGAAAACCCTCTACTAAATCAATCGGGGGAAATGAAAGCCGACGTGGCTTATTGTCGCCTCCTTTTGAACTGGAGAGGGGCGATGTCAGGATGGGTTACCTTCTCTGCCGCCATCTTGGTGCCCCCTTTGAAGCTCTGGACCAGTTTCATGGGGTACCAAAGGCTCAGCATGGCGAGGCCCAGAATGATAGGCAGGTAAGAAAGCAGGGAATAATATCTGTAGATCTGAGAAGAAAGGAGAAGGAAAAAGACAGAATAAAGTGGCTACCCCTGAGGATCGAGGAGATGAATGGCATTTCAGTCACAATCCCTCAATGGCTAATATTACGCTGGGGAGTTTCCAGACCCAGGAATTGTGGTTTATGGACCAGAACTCTTTGCCACAGCAACGCATTGATGAATTTGAAGAGCGAGTTGGTCCCTCTCGCGAAGTCCCCTGTGAATTGCTTCGAGACGCAAAGTCGCCAACAAAGAGAGTGGATTAATTGCTCTCCACCCCTTCTTCAGATCCTCTGGAACTCCGAGGGGGTGTTGTTCTTGGCTGCTTTCTTCCTTCTGCCTTTTGGAGGGACTCAAAATATGCTTTCGTGTTAATTGCAAGCTGTGCGCATAATTGCTTTCTGCCATCCTTCCTGGATGCTGAGAACACATTGTACTCCACATGGGAAATCCAGAGATTTTGCTACTCCTGTAAGTCAAAGTATCTGCTTTGTCCAATGTACAGGTAACCAATGATTCCTGGTCTGAAAGCCACCTGGGATGAGCTCCATGCAGTGGTGGTATTCAAGTTGGTTCTATCCGATTTGTGCGAACCGGTAGCGGCGGCTACGGGAGACTCTGCCCACCCGCCCGGACATCATCATGTCCCGTTTTTGTGCTCTGCCCATGCGCGTGCACTCACATTTGTGAACCGGTAATGAAGGTAAGTGAATACCACTCCTGGCCCCATGCCATATATATTCCTGACAATTTGTTCTCTAGTTAGCTCTTTCCTCATTCTTCTGGCACAAATCATCACATTTAGTTTGTAGTAGTTGCGTGCTAAAGTCTGCCTAACTGAGTTAGTGAAACATCATGGACCTTCTGAAGCACCACGATCAAAAGATGCATGCAACTGTGGCCCCAGTTCAGTATCCCCCCAACTCTAAGTGTGGCCTTCAGATCTTCTCCAGAAGTTGTCCTCAGAATCTCCTTCTGAATATGATAAAAGCAGAAATGGCTTTATATTTGGGGAGTTACTATTAATTACTTCAAATGAATATATTTTGATTCTTTGGCCCACCGCATTTATTAAAAATCCACAATTTGAGTCCCAAACTTCTCCAGAACCTTGAGATATCCTATGGGGAAAAAGTCTCCAGGCTTCATGTAAGAGAGCTGTCCCTCTAGTTGGCTCCCACCCAGTTTCTCCCCTTCAGCCTCTTTCTTCTCTCCCTTTACCTTGGATGACTGAGGACATTCCACCTTCTGCCAGATGTAGACCACACAGTGACACCAGGACAGAAGGCAGCCAAGCAGGTATCCAACTCTGTGTCGAACAGTAGCGCATGCCAGTAAGGGATAGTAGAAGGCAGGGTAATAGAATAAAGCCAGCATCTTCCAGTACTCTAGAGAAGGAGATCACAGAGAAGAGAAGGACCAATGTTAAGAGCCCAAGTATTTCTGCATGTGGCCAACGCAAATGGAAGAGTGGGTAGAGGAGAATGGAGAAGAGGGAAGGAGAGTGGGGGAAGGAGAGAAGGAAATGGATGAGAGAAGAGGAGTAGGAGAGAGGGAAGGAGAGAGGAAAAGGGAGGAGAAGGAAGGAGAAGGAACCACAGCTCCCCAAGTTCTTAGCCCACAAAGCTAACTTGAAAGACGGAGGAAGATGCTAGCTTAGAAAAGACCCCCGTCTTCCTATCGTGAATCCTTTACCTCGATTCTGTATTGAAGAGTTGGCGATGAAAGGCAGGGGGTCCTTATCCAACAACAGCGCGCACAACGAAGAGAAGAGGATGCCAAAGACTGCAATGGCCAATCCTTTGTTCTGTGTTTCTTCCAAGAAATTCATAGGGCTGGGCAAGCCAACAAACAGAATGCCGGAGAGGAAGAATAAACAAAAGAAAAGAAAACACGAAAATTAGTTCTGCAAATGGAATGCCTCTGCCAGAAAGCTTTGAAGATAATATGCTCCAAAGTTGCAAGACACCCCATCCCCCCAAGGCGAAGTGTTCCCCACTCAGCACGAACGAGAGTTAGTACCTCAATAGTCCAGGTGCTCCGTTCCAAAAATCCGGGTAGAGTTTCCTCCGTTTCACCAACAGCGAGAGAATCAAGAGTATAACTAGCTGGAAGACAAGATTCCTTGTGTTTACACACAGCCTGATTCCTTACACAAATGAAATTATCCCTCTGTTCTTAAATGTGAAAATGAAGATAAAATAAAAACAAAGACAAAATATATTACATTTCTAAGGTCCTCCATCCGCCTAATGACCCAGACTTCTATTGTCTGTCTGTCTGTCTATCCATCTATCTATCTCATCTATCTATCTATCCCATCCTTTCTTCATCCATCTTCCATCTCTCTCTCTCCATCTATCTATCTATCTATCTATCTATCTATCTATCTATCTATCTATCTATCTATCTCATCTATCTAGCCCATCCTTTCTTCATCCATCTTCCATCTCTCTCTCTCCATCCATCCATCATCTATCTATCTATCTATCTATCTATCTATCTATCTATCTATCCATCTATCTATCTATCTCATCTATCTATCCCCATCTTTTCTTCATCCATCTTCCATCTCTCTCCATCCATCCATCCATCCATCCATCCATCCATCCATCCAACCATCATCTATCTATCTATCTATTTATCTATCTATCTATCCATCCATCTATCTCATCTATCTATCCCATCCTTTCTTCATCCATCTTCTATCTCTCTCTCTCTCCATCCATCCACCTACCCACCCATCCATCCATCCATCCTCTGTGCATGCGCAAAACCTTCTGTGCATGCCCAGAGGGTAAAAAACACATCACTTCCTGGTTAAAACCAGGAAGTAACGACACCCAGGCGGGTGGGCAGAGCCACGTGCCACCATCACTACCGGTTCTCCGAACCACCTGCCACAATCGCTATCGGATCACCCGATTTGGTCCGAACCGGGAACATTTCACCCCTGCTATGGATGTTAATATAGCTGGGAAACGGGGGCCCTTAACACACTCAGGATGATGTTACCTAGGTTGGCAACAAAACATCTGCAAGAAGACAACCAGGCTCAGAGGGTACCAAGGGCTTTACAACCCCCACCCCCACCCCCCATCACCCAGAAGCAAATCTGCTTTTCTCTCTGGTTTCTCAGTCTTCGCTTTCCATAACTTCTCATCTTGATCTGAAGTTCCCTTTCACGGATTCGATTCCATTTCAATGATAAATCCTTCCCCGAAACCCCCCGAGTGGCCAAGAGCATTTTAAAATATAAAATGGTTTTACGCTCAGCCGTATTTGTGATTGGGCCATCTGCCACACTGCATGTAGGGATTTTGCAGTGTTTAAAACACAGTCCTAAACTTTCCCAAAACTGTAAACCGTATCTGTCCACATTCCCTTTCCAGCAGCGGAACATTTCAGCAGCTGTCAACAAGGGATATTAAAAGGTGGGGGGGGTAACCCCACAATTTTCACTAGGCATAAAACATTGGCAGTAATTCTTTTCAGCTGCTCACGGTGGGGAGATAGTTGTTATGGCAACACAAACAAAAGGCAGCCAAGGAAACCTTGAACAGCCAAAGTTGGGGGAAAGAAATGCTAAACCGTTCGCTCTTGCACGATCTGGGTTTAGCCTACTTCACAGGGCTGTTGTGAGGATAAAAAGCAAGAAGGGGGGGTGGGGGGCTGATAGTAGCAGATCTTACAGATTAACAGAGTTGGAAGGGACCTTGTAGGTCATCTAGTCCAACCCCCTGGTCCAAGCAGGAGACCCTATCGAAAGACTCCAAAATGTGGTAGCCAGCCAGTCAGAAAAATGGAATAAATCTGGACTGTCACAACAGCTAACTTTGGCTTATGTTAGAAAAGATTAAATCAGTTTAGACCTGGTTTATATTCGGATGAAAAGCTAGGAGCTCACTTTGAAAAACATGCCCTTCCTTCCTTCCTTCCTTCCTTCCTTCCTTCCTTCCTTCCTTCCTCCATCTTCCCCCTTTCCTTTCCTTTCCTTTCCTTTCCTTTCCTTTCCTTTCCTTTTTCCTTTCCTTTCCTTTCCTTTCCTTTCCTTTCTCCCTTCCTTTCTTTCCTTCTTTCCTTCCTTCCCTGTCCCTCCATCTTTCCTCCTTTCCTTTCCTCCCTCCCTCCCTTTCTTTTCTTCCTCCCTCCCTCCCTCCCCTCTCCCTCCATCTTCCCTCCTCTCCCCTCCCTGCTATTTCCTTTCCTTTCCTTTCCTCTCTCCCTTCCTTTCCTTCCTTCCTTCCTTCCTTCCTTCCTTCCTTCCTTCCTTCCTTCCTTCCTTTCCTCTCCCTCCATCTTTCCTCCTCCTTTCCTTTCCTTTCCTTTCCTTTCCTTTTCCTTTCCTTTCCTTTCCTTTCCTTTCCTTTCCTTTCCTTTCCTTCTTCCCTTCCCTTCCCTCCCTCCCTCCCTTCTGAATGTGGTTTCTTATGTCCTTAAATTAATATTTTCCTTAGGCTGACTGAATAGAGTAAAGCCCCAGTGAGAATGCAATTTACGTTCTTGGCTAGATAATCAAGTTAGATATTTGCAGCTACGGTATAGTATCAAATTAACAATCTCCTTCAGTGTTTCTCAATCTTGGCAGCTTGAAAAGGTGTGGACTTCCTCTTCCAGAATTCCCCATGGCTGGCTGGGGGATTCTGGGAGTTGAGGTCCACCCACCTCTTTAAGTCACCAAGGTTGAGAAACACGGGTCTATTTCATGGATCGGTAGATCACCTATTCCAGTCAGCTTCACAAAGGTGGCTCAGCGGCTGAGACACTGAGCTTGTCGATCAGAAAAGTCAGCAGTTCGGCGGTTCGAATCCCTAGTACAGGCCTTCTGTGTGAGCAGCGGTTTGGACTAGATGACCTCCAAGGTCCCTTCCAATTCTGTTAATCTGAATCCATTCCAACTCTTGTTACTGTTAAAATGTTGTGTAAGATTTTAAGAGTCTTGGTGGCACAGCAGACTAAAGTGCTGTTAAGTAACACCAGCTGCCTGCAATTACTGCAAGTTCGAATCTCACCAGGCTCAAGGTTGACTCAGCCTTTCATCCTTTCGAGGTAGGTAAAATGAGGACCCGGATTGTGGGGGCAATAAGCTGACTTTGTATAAAAAGGAACACCGCTTGGGGGGGGGGCGAAAGCCCTACTAAGCAGGTATATACAAAAGTATGACGGCTATTGCTTAACGTATTGTAAGCCGCCCTGAGTCTCCTGAGAAGGGCGGCATATAAATCGAACCAATAAATAAATAAAGATGTTTTGGATACTGCTCCTCTCTCTGTAACTCCTGGGTCCCCTTACCTCTTCGAGAAGTGGCCCACGGAGGCTAAAGATTCATTCTCAAACTTGTTTTTTTTTCTAAAATACTTACAGAAATTGGAGCCATGCTGCAGTGATAGAGATCAATGGGGATAGTCAGTTGGCAGTCAGGGATAATGTTGGAAGCCATGCTGCAAGAAAGCATCAAAACCTATTTAAAAGCGCATCTAATTCAGAAAACCACATTTTTGAGAGGCGTCAAATCTCAACCCATATCCTCCGGCTAAGACTGGGGTCAGCAACCTGTGGCTCTGGAGCCGCATGTGGCTCTTTCACCCCTCTGCTGTGGCTCCCTGTCACTCAAAATATGTGTCACAACCGCCAATGTGCGACACCCACTGGCATGTGATATATTGAGCTTTTCGTCCCCCGGTAGGCCAACCATGGAAAAATCCAAGCAAAGAAAAGTTTCAGAAGAAAACAGAACATTTAATTCAATTACATATGCTAGTTTTGTGGCCGCTCAAGAAATAGTCAGGCACGGGAAGGGTTTTGTGGCTCCCGGTGTTTTCTTTTCTGTGGGAAACGGGTCCAAATGGCTCTTTGAGTGTTTAAGGATGCAGAACCCTGGGCTAAGAGAAAAATTCTGCATTTGACAACAATGTCTTTGGATGAAAACAAACAAACAAATCACCGGTACATGTTTTTATTTTCTAGACATTTTATTTTTTTTTGGTTCCTCACTGAGCGTAACTCACTTAAAATAGCAGCTTTAAAGTAGATATTAGACGCCTCACATTCACGGAAAGCATAGAAAATTAAAAGGAATCATTTTAGCAACCGAAAGCAACCCTAAAGCCCATAAGCCAAAAAGCTTGACTGGGAGCAAAGATTAAGAGCACTAATATGTGTCATGCGGTTAGTTGGATTTACGAAGATGGAGTAGCGTGGAAATGTAACTGAAGGTGCTTATTAAAATGAATCCAAACCAGCAGCAGATTTTCTAACACACAGGACTGCTTTTGTGGCAGTGTGGTAATGCAAGAGGAAGTGGGCTTTAGGGGGTTTGAAATGTCTCCCCCCCCCCATTTTTTAAAAAAATCCAGCAAAAACTACCTTCCAGAGAACACAGGTTGTTAGTTTATCAGCCTGGTGAGAACATAGCCCTTTGTCTGACTTTCCCACATGAGTCGAAAGTTTGTGAGTTGACCAAGCTTGAACCTGGATAAAGTTACAGCCTTTGAAGGAAGCTTTCTGAATTAAAAAGCTCACAGGGAGAGAAGCAACTTAGAACTAAGGAGAAATTTCCTGACAGTGAGAACAATTAATCAGTGGAACAACTTGCCTCCAGAAGCTGTGAATGCTCCAACACTGGAAGTTTTTAAGATGTTGGATAACCATTTGTCTGAAGTGGTGTAGGGTTTCCTGCCTAAGCAGGGTGTTGGACTAGAAGACCTCCAAGGTCCCTTCCAACTCTGTTATTCTATTCTATTCTACCTCTCTTGCTAGACCGACTTTCTGTAAAATCAGGAGGAAAATAGTTCTTCTGCAGCCTGTCATTCCCTCTCAGAATATATTCAGACTAACTGGGGGGATTTTCTGAAGTATTTTGGAGATCCAGAATGAGATGGATGGAATTGTTGACTGGAAGTCAAGACAAAAAGCAACAGATTTAAATTACGAGGAAGAAGAATGGGTTGGACACCAGGAAAAATGCTTAACAGAGTCATCCAATGACAGAACTAATAGCCTTGAGATATTGTGAGTTGTTTGGAAGAATCTAAACAGAGGTGGAATAAGTCATCTGTTGGGAATGTTATAAGAATGGATTCCTGTAAAGGGGTTGGGTTACATCAATATTTTTCAACGTCAGCAATGTTGAGATCTGGGGATTGGCTAGAGAATTCTGGGGACTGAATCCCCCCCCCATCTCATCACTGAAGTTGAGAAACATTGGGGTAGGGGTTCCTCAAAATAACTCCCAGTTTTTGCATTCTAGGATTCAGGGAAAAATGAATTAATAGGAATGGATGCAAACCAACAAAAAAACAGGAAAGCATCAAAGCTTCCTATGTGTTTTGCACCTCTCTGACTTGAAGCTGGGAAAGCAAAGAATGTTTCAATTCAGTCTCGGCTGCTTATGCATCATTAATCCGACTTCGGGGCAGAATTAGTGAGTTATGTCAGAAATGCGGATATTTAATCCCATCCAAGGGCTAACTGCTGAACTAATTACGGATAGAATCAAGTCCCTCTCTATGCCCCCCCCATCTTAAATGTATGGATGTCTTCGGGAAGCTCACACAGTATTAACCACGAAATATCCGTAGCTCGATTTCCGTAAATATGAGATACATTTTCCTAACAGCTAACAAACCCAACAAAACCCCCTTACCTGTTTTCGGAAAAAGACTTCTAAACAATTTAACACCCACCAGCCCCCAGCCAACTTGTTAATGTGTCAAACTTGGTTTCAAACAACGTTCAACGTCGCACACTAATATTCCCAAGCCCAGAATGATTTTTTAAAAAAGAATATTTGGGGCATTTTATAAACACTTTGCCAAGAGGAAGTTTTAGCAACAACCTTAAATTCTAGAGCAGGGGTCTCCAACCTTGGCAACTTTAAGCCTGGCGGACTTCAACTCCCAGAATTCCCCACCCAGCTGGCTGGGGAATTCTGGGAGTTGAAGTCCTCCAGGCTTAAAATTGCCAAGGTTGGAGAGCCTTGTTCTAGAGGGTAAAGCAACACAAGGATGAAACCTGAGAAATAAGTAGCATTTATACTCACTCGTTGGGGTTTCCTATTGGTTCATTTATGTACCAATCTTCATCAGCAAAGTTGCCGGCGAGGTCCAATTCATCCCTTAGTAGCTCTTGGGAAGACATCTCTCTCTTTTCTTTAATTTCCCAGGCAATCAAATTTAAAGAATATCTTTTAAAAAAAAAAGAAAAGAAAAGAAAACAAGGTCTTTTCTGAGCTGAAGAACTAATCTTTCCCAAAATTTGTCCTGTAGTTGATACACTTTGGCGGTCAAATTAAAAAAAAAAAAACCTGGCCAAGAGCTTCTTGGTCTTTTATACAAGCAACTCGCTTTCCTTCTGTCATTTAAGCTGCTTTTCATGCTTTTGGTATTTTTTGTTGTTTTTTTTTACCCCACAGAGAAGTTTATCCAAAGTGACTTCATCCTGTTTCAGCATTACAGGAGAACAAAGGAAGGAGGAACAGAGGTTGGGGGTTAACCAAAAAAGAAAGGAAAAGAAAAGAAAAGAAAAAAAAACACAACAACTCAAACCTCACTACACAAACCAAACTAAGAATCTTCAGTTATGAAAGGCTGTGACCAGAAGAAGGAGATTAAAGAAACTACAGATTTGTTTAACTTGATTTCTCCCCAAGACTCGACTCAGCCTAAGGAGATGAAAAGCATTTGGAAAGTTTTTTTTTTTTTTTGCTCCTTACACCTATTTGAATGGATGCTCTTTTTAAAATTTCTTTTTGCAAAAAAAAAAATAAATCCAAAAATTATTTAGAAATAAAGCTTGATTTCACCCAACCAACGGTTTGGTGTGTCCCCACTCCCTCTTTCTTGATACTTTCAAAAGCCCCATTGTTGGAACTGAGAATCTGTGCAGTGAAATTTTAAACATTTATTGCTTTGGGCTTAAGAAAACCCCAGTACGTGCCCAAAATTTAACTATAAAATTAATAGGCTGATCATCTGGATGCTCTTGTTTGATTGGGGGGGTGGTTAGTCATAGAATAGAGGAGAACGTTGTAGAAAATTCCTTGACTTCTTTGCAAAAAAGGGTGAGGTGTTAATGTATGGAATAAATAAAACTGGCTTTTCATATGTTAAGCAACGTTGCCCCAACCTAAGCCGGTTGGATAAATTGCAATTAAATGGAGATGCACCACAGACTAAATATAAACCACATTAATGACTTAATCTGTTGAATGAAACCAGTCAAAATCCCACCTTGGTGTGAAAATCATACTGAGAACATTGATGCAAAAGGATATTCCTCGTTAATAGTAAGATTATGGGTCCTTGATGTGCTCTCAGCTTGGTTGCTTCCTGGCAGACATTTCACCACCCAACTAGCTAACATCATCAGTGCCAGTAGAGAGTGGAGTTTGCTCTCTGTTTATATACAGTGGCTTTCCCTAGTAGCTGATTAAAACACCTCGGAATCTTGGATCAACCGTCATTAAAACCTTGGCGATTTCCACGTCTATGGCTCTCAGCTCCCAAAATTCCACAGCCAGCAATAGCCATTGTTGAGAACTCGGCTAGTTGAAGCCTATCACCATTGGAAAGCATTGTCCTACTTGGTTTTAACTGTGGTTTGTCGGACGAGCCATCAATGGGCTGGTTTACCTCAGTGGCCGTTTGAGCCCAAAGGGAAGAAGCTAGATGATAGCATAGAAATAAAGAGTAAAGGTAAAGGTTCCTCTTGCACATATGTGCTAGTCGTTCCCAATTCTAGGGGGCGGTGCTCATCTCCGTTTCAAAGCCGAAGAGCCAGCGCTGTCCGAAGACGTCTCCGTGGTCATGTGGCCGGCATGATTCAACGCCAAAGGCAAACAGAATTCTGTTACCTTCTCACCAAAGGTGGTCCCTATTTTTCTACTTGCATTTTTTTTGCGTGCTTTCGAACTGCTAGGTTGGCAGAAGCTGGGACAAGTAACGGGAGCTCACCCCGTTACGCAGCGCTAGGGACTCGAACCGCCAACCTTTCAATCGACAAGCTCAGCCTCTTAGCCACTGAGCCACTGTGTCCCATGCTCTCTCCCAATTTATTCTGCTAGTCCTAGGAGACATGGGGAGCCCAACGGAAATTGTAGACTCCCAAAGGGGGAGGCAAGCTGAAAGACAGAACACACAAGACACAATCAAGACTTGTGCTCTTGTTTGCAGCCTGGCGTTTCAGCTGCACTTGGTTTCACCCAAAACCTGATCTTTTTGCTCCTCTGCCTGACCTCCGCTGGGGAAAGCCGAAGCTTTGATGGGGTGACAGCAAAGGGAGAGATTGATGACCGCAATAAATATTATTCATTTCTCCCTCTTTATCGCTCCCCGGGGAACGTTTTGCCTCTCGCCCAAATAAATAGAGCAAGAGAGGGAATCGGGGAAGGTCGAGGAGATGGGAGAACGGAGAAGGGAGCGTACGGCATGTGGCTTTTAATCAAAATGATAAGAGATCAGTTTCCGGAAGAGCTGTGGAATTTGTTGGGTGGGAGGTGATTTCACTCAGTTGAGCTCTGCTCGGAGTTGCAAGAAGGACGAGGGGGTGACGTGATAGCAATTACTTCGAGTTCAATTCTCTCCAAGGCTCAAGGTTGATTCAGCCTTCCATCCTTTCTAAGGTAGGTAAAATGAGGACCCGGTTTGTGGGGGCAATAAGCTGACTTTGTATAAAATATACAAAAGTATGAAGGCTATTGCTTAACGCATTGTAAGCTGCCCTGAGTCTCCGGAGAAGGGCGGCATATAAATCAAAATTAAAAGAAAAAAAAATATTTGAGGGGCTGCCCCAAAGAAGAGGGGGTCAAGCTATTCTCCAAGGCCCCTGAAGGCAGGACAAGAAGCAACAGATGGAAACTCATCAAGGAGAGAAGCAACCTAGAACTAAGGAGAAACTTCCTGACAGTGAGGACAATTAACCAGTGGAACAGCTTGCCACCAGAACTTGTGGATCCTTCGTCACTGGACGCTTTCAAGAAGAGATTGGACAGCCACTTGTCTGGAATGGTGTAGGATCTCCTGCTTGAGCAGGGGGTTGGACTAGAAGACCTCCAAGGTCCCTTCCAACTCTCTTTTTCTGTTAAATGGGAGACATATTTTCTTCCTCAGACAGCCCAGCCCTACCATTTTCAAAACAACTTTGCGCTGGGAGTTTTCCTGATGGCTCTTCAAACGCCCTTTGCTTCATCCCATGCCGGGGGTTACTACCGGCCAGAGCTGTTTGTACAGGTGTCAACTCACAGCGAGGGAGTTGCAAATGTGTGAGGGATTGCAGCGGGCGATCTTCGCCAATTCCACCAGCATCAGAGTTCAAACGAAACAGGCCGATTGTTATCTTCTCCTTCCAAGCCTTTTATTGCTCTACATTCCTTCCCCACCTGGCTAATTCGGGGAGAACCATCAACAAACAATGTTTAAGAAGGAGAAGAAGAAGTTAATAAAAGTGCAGGCCTTGATAAAAGGTCAAATAGACCCACAATCTGGGTTGTCTAGTTGTATTGTCTTGTAATGCTTGATTATAGCAATAGCACTTAGACTTATATGCCGCTTTCCAGTGCTTTCCTCTCTAAGCAGTTTACAGAGTCAGCCTCTTGCCCCCAACAATCTGGGTCCTCATTTTACCCACCTTGGAAGGATGGAAGGCTGAGTCTACCTTGAGCCAGTCAGGATCGAACTGCTGGCTGTGGGCAGAGTTTCGTTGCAATATGGCATTCTAAGCACTGCGCCACCATGCCCCTTCCTTCCTTCCTTCCTTCCTTCCTTCCTTCCTTCCTTCCTTCCTTCCTTCCTTCCTTCCTTCCTTCCTGGGGAGATTCGAACTGCCAAACTGCAGGCAGCCGGCAGTCAGCAGAAGTAGCCTGCAATCCCACACTCTAACCACTGCATTGCTGTGGCTTTTAGTCGGAGTCTCAGCATGATCTTGGAGAACTCAGACCATTGTGGTTTATAAGTCATGGGTTATAAGTTGACATAGTTCATGCTGCAATGACTTGCTCAGTAAGCCGTGGTTTAGTATCAGGGATGAACTCATAGACTTGGTCCTCCTCACTGTAAGTCATTGCGATGGTTTGTCATTAAGTGATGATGTGATGATTTAGAATCAAGCAGGAATGCAGTCATTGGGGTTTGTAGATAACAGTTTATGGCCGAGCCCAAGAGACAACGGCAATCTAATTGTGGGCATCTTTAATAGATCTGGCTCAATGAAACATGGTTTCATGCAACGGGGGAAGTGGTTCATATGTTAAGTTCTCCAGAAAGTTTCTAAGTTGACTTATGCAAGACCAAACAACTGCATAGACAGCCAAACTCTAATAATAAAACCATTTAAAGCTTTATTTTAATCCCCCCTCCCAAATTTTAAAGTTGAGCTTTCATGAAAAGTGGGGCCACCACTGTGGGGACCCTGTCTTCTCATTCCCTTATTGAAAGTACCTGGCAGTGAACACAATTTTGGCCAGTTGTTTCCAGATGAGTGACATTGTCCTTTTAAAATACATGCTTTATATATATATACCCTGTTTCCCTGAAAATAAGACCTCCCCTGATAATAAGCCCAATCGGGCTTTTGAGCGCATGTGCTAAAATAAGCCTCCCCCCCGAAAATAAGCCCTCCCCGAAAATATTTAACCACAGAGCTGGAAATCAGATAAGACGGCAAGAGGAGCCCAGTCTTGCTCCACGCACCCCAAAATAATAAGACCTCCCCTAAAATAAGGCCAAGCGCTTATTTTGGGGTTCAAAAAAATATAAGACAGGGTCTTATTTTTGGGAAAACACGGATATATATATATATAGTTCAGAGCAATGGTGAAATCCAAATTGTTTTACTACCAGTTCTGTGGGCATGGCTTGGAGGGCATGGTGTGGCTTGGTGGGTGTGGCTTGGTGAGTGTGGCAGTGGTAGGATACTGCAAAATCCCCATTCCCTCCCCACTCCTGGGGGAAGGATATTGCAAAATCGCCATCCCCGCCTCACTCTGGGGCCAGCCAGAGGTGGTATTTGCTGGTTCTCCGAACTGGTCAAAATTTCCGCTACTGGTTCTCCAGAACCTGTCAGAACCTGCTGGATTTCACCCCTGGTTCCAAGCACACAATAATCTATATTTTGGTTGGGTTGCTTTTGCATCAGCGACTTATTGCCCAGTCACCCTGGCAAATTATGGTTATACTGTATAATGTGAAGGATGGACCTGGCCAATGTTTAAAATACGGCTCAACAATTTGTAAGCTCAACTCCCGTTTCATGGTCAACCTATCCAGGTATCCCATCTGTCAAAGAAATACTTCTGAAGGCACCATCACTTGGGGCAGTGTTTCTCAACCTTGGCAATTTTAAGAGGTGTGGACTTCAACTCCCAGAATTCTCCAAACAGCATGACTAGCTGGGGAATTGTGGGAGTTGAAATCCACATCTCTTAAAGTGGCCATGGTAGAGAACCACCAGCTGAACTGAACTGCAGAAAAAACAATGGCTACCCACCTGCCTTCCGTTGAGGATCTGTATACTGCACGAGTCAAAAAGAGGGCTGTGAAAATATTTATAGATCCCACACATCCTGGACATAAATTGTTTCAACTCCTACCCTCAAAACGACGCTATAAAGCACACCAGAACAACTAGACACAAGAAGTTTTTTCCCCGAATGCCATCACTCTGCTAAACAAACACTCAACACTGTCAAACTATTCACTAAGTCTGCATTCCTATCACCCATCTCCTCCCACTTATGACTGCATGACTGTAACCTTGTTGCTGGTATCCTTACGATTTATATTGACTGTTTCCTAGTATGATTTGATTGCTTATTTGTTCCCTACGACTATCATTAAGCCTTGTACCTAATGATTCTTGATGAACATATCTTTCTTTTATGTACACTGAGAGCATATGCACCAAAGACAAATTCCTTGTGTGTCCAATCACACTTGGCCAATAAAGAATTCTATTCTATTCTATTCTATTCTATTCTATTCTATTCTATTCTATTATTATTCTATTCTATTCTATTCTATTCTATATTCTATATTCTTGACGATATCTTTTCTTTATGTACACTAGCGTATGACTATTCCTTGTGTGTCCAATCACATTTGGCCAATAAAAATTCTATTCTATTCTATTCCTATTCTATTATTCTATTCTATTCTATTCTATTCTATTCTATTCTATTCTATTCTATCCTATCCTATCCTATCCTATCCTATCCTATCCTATCCTAGATTGGATTCCTGGCCCATATCCAAAACCACATTTTTTTCAATCTCCTTCTCAAATATGAAATCATCTACTTTCAGAACCAGACTGCTCACTGTCTGGATTTTTGGTAGAGCCGTTCAGGCAAACTTTTTCAGAATAGTTTGTAAGAATCTTTTTTTAAAAAAATCCTTTTGGGAAAAGGGAAAGAAAAAACAAAAAACACCAGGAGGATTCTAAGTTTGTTTCAACTGCAAACCGACCTTCTTGTAAATAATTTTCTTGCTATTACTCAAACTCCAGCCTGCTTGCTCATTCTCTAGCAAATAAACATCAGGGGTTTATTACAGCCTGTAATGACTCCAAACGCTGAAGTCCTGATACAAAAGGACACCTTATGCTTTAAAGGAGATCAAAGGAAGGGGAGGGGGAGGGGAGGGGAAACTTCTTAGTCTTCTTTCACGAGGTCAACAAGCCAACCAACTGCACACACAGAAAGAAATTACAGCCTTCCGTGATTCAGTTTTAATCAATCTCCAGGAGGTCCCTCTGGGAGCAGTTTCGAAGGTCCCCATTCCCAGCGATCTAGGGGGTCTCCTCAGCAAGTTACAGAACACAGAATAACAGAGTTCGAAGGGACCTTGGAGGTCTTCTAGTCCAACCCCTGCTTGAGCAGGAGACCCTATACTGGGTGTCAGCAACCTGCGGCTCCGGAGCTGCATGCGGCTCTTTGGGCCCTCTGCTGTGGCTCCTTGTCGGGTGATCCCACCACTGGCTGGCCCCGCCCCTCGCTCTCCCCTCCCAGTCACTCCTCGCCTGGCTTGAGAAGGTAAAGGTGATAGCGGGGGAGGGAGAAGCAGCCGGGGCAGAGACATGAGAGATACAGAGAGAGGGGGGAGGGAGAGACAGAGAGATACAGAGAGAGAGAGAGAGAGACATAGAGAGATACAGAGAGAGGGGGGAGGGAGAGACAGAGAGATACAGAGAGAGAGAGAGAGACAGAGAGATACAGAGAGAGGGGGAGAGAGAGAGACAGAGAGAGATACAAAGAAAGAGGGAGAGAGAGAGACATAGAGAGATAGAGGGGGGAGAGGGAGACATAGAGAGATACAGAGAGAGGGAGAGACATAGAGAGATACAGAGAGAGAGGGAGAGACATAGAGAGATACAGAGAGAGGGAGAGAGAGACATAGAGAGATACAGAGAGAGAGGGAGAGAGGGGGGAGGGAGGGAGTGGAGAGAGATATATGTCAAAAGGGTTTTGTGGTTACCGGTGTTTTTTAACAACTGGTTCTCTGCTCTAATGATTGGCTGGGTAGGCATGGCAAGGGGGTCAAGTGAGTGATGTCGAGCTGGCCACGCCCACCCAGGTTTTGTGGCTCCCGGTGTTTTCTTTTCTGTGGGAAACGGGTCCAAATGGCTCTTTGAGTGTTTAAGGTTGCCGACCCCTGGCCTATACCATCCCGGACTAATGGTTGTCCAAATCTCTTTTTGAAAACCTCCCGTGTTGGAGCATTCACAACTTCTGGTGGCAAGTTGTTCCACTGATCAATTGTTCTAACTGTCAGGAAATTTCTCCCTAGTTCTAGGTTGCTTCTCTCCTTGATGAGTTGCTTCTTGTCTTTCCTTCTGGTGCTTTGGAGAAGAGGTTGACCCCCACTCCTCTTCTTTGGGTCAGCCCCTCAAATATTGGAAGACTGCTATCATGTCACCTCTAGTCCTGCTCTCGCTGAAGAAGTCAATGCATCATTGTGATGTTTAATACAGGTAGTAGTCCTTGACTTACAACAGTTCATTTAGCAACCGTTCAAAGTTACAAGGGCACTGAAAAAAGTGACTTATGACCAGTGGTGAAATCCATTTTTTTTTACTACCGGTTCTGTGGGCGTGGCTTGGTGGGCCTGGCAGGGGAAGGAATACTGCAAAATCCCCATTCCCTCCTGATTCCAGGGGAAGGATACTGCAAAATCCCCATTCCCTCCCCACTCCTGGAGCCAGCCAGAGGTGGTATTTGTCGGTTCTCCGAACTGCTCAAAATTTCCGCTACCGGTTCTCCAGAACCTGTCAGAACCTGCTGGATTTCACCCCTGCTTATGACTGTTTTTCACACTTACGACCAGTGCAGCATCCCCGTGATCAAAATTCAGATGCTTGAATCCAGATTTACTTAACAACCATTTTACTAACTTAACAAAGGCAAATGATTCACTTAACAACGGTAGCAAGAAAAGTCGTAACAGGGAGCAGACTCGCTTAACACATGTTTCACTTAGCAACCCGAATTTTGGGCTCAATTGGGGTCGTAACCCGAGGACTACTGTAGCCTCAGCCAGAGGTTTTTAAGAGTTTAACGAAGCTGCAGTCATTGCAAGTGTAATTTGATCGGTTTGGGAAAGGAAAGGCTCAGGAAACCTAAGGTTGGTCCATGGGGGCAGGGAAGAAATCTGGGACCTACAAAAGTCTTCACTAAATAGCTAGCCAAGATTCAAGGCTTCTTTGGGAGAGGCGAAACTCAAACCACCAATCTCGGATCGTCTCAATCCAATTGCAAAGCTTGGATTGAGCCTGGCGCCTGGCCCTGACTTCCATTTATCATTTCTTAAAAGAGCTATAAAAAAAATCTCGATCGATCCGTCACTGCAGAGTTTACAGAGCCAAGATGGAAGGTCTCTCTCTCTGTGTTTTTTTTTTAAAAAGACCCCCCCCCCATATAATTCATTTCCAACCGGGGAGCCAATGTGACCTGGAGGGACCATAAATCGTTCTTTTTATTAAAAAGGAAAAGCGATCAAAGCCGTGTCACAATTAGATGCCTCATTTGCTGTGAAATCAGGGTGATTAAAGTTTTTTTTTTTTTTTTTTAAATAACAGCCTCTTGATAAAATACCTTTTTCACCTCCTCTGTTGTAAGCGAGGCTTTCTTGGGCCCTTGGAAAAAAAATTTTTTTCCCTACCCAGACAACAATGCAGGCTGAGCAAAAAAAATAATAAATAAATACTGTAAAACTGGCATCGTATAAAATGAAAGGGAAACAAAGCATCCGTCTTTTCAACTGCTTGTAGATTTAACATAAGCACCTCTATTAAACGGAGAGAAATAGGCTGGGAGTTGACAAGGTAAGGACTCCCTCGTGATCATTTTTTTTTAAAAAAAGAACACAGACTTGAAGGGAAAGAAAAAAACCCACACTACACAATTGCCACCTTGTTAAGAATTTTGTTGCTAAGAGAAGCTTGTCTGGAAGGGAGAGCTTATTATCCTTGATTGATTTATAGAAGAACAAGAAGAAGGAGAAGAAGGAGAAGGAGAAGGAGAAGAAGAAGAGGAGGAGGAGGAGGAGGAGAAGAAGAAGAAGAAGAAAAAGAAAGAAAGAAAGAAAGAAAGAAAGAAAGAAAGAAAGAAAGAAAGACCTTCTTATTAGAACTTGGAATGGTTTCTCTTGTGCAAATTAACAAAGAAAATATAATTCTAATTTTTAATTCTATTTGAGGAGGACAAAAAAAATACACATTTCTTTTACCATTTGGGCTCACCTCGAATAATGTGGCCTTTTCCCTTTAGAAAGATGATCAATTTTCTTTTTTGGGCCAAAATTCAAAAGCTTAACAATGGCACGGTTTGGTCAGGATTGTGGTAGTTCTTTAAGAATTCGTATTTTTTTTTTCTTCCTCAAAAGGAAACTTGTTCAGCAATTAGCAGGGCCAAAGGTTATTGGCATAGAAAACACAACAATAGAGGAAAACAAACGAAGCTTGGAAAAAGTAGAACATTACCTTGAGCTGTGTAAGATTTCCAAAGCCTGAGCGGGCTAAACACCAGACAAATACCCAGATCCAAATGCCAATTTCTCCACGGCAGGTAGACTCACACAAACATACACACAAAAAAATTGATTCAAACTCTCCAGGTTGTCCCAAAGATACAAGCCACCCCAAGCTTCAGATTCGGATCTTTTTCCTTGGACAATTGTACCAACACCTCCAAACCCCTGCGGAGATCCCCGCTGAGATGCTATCTCAAGACTTAATGATCTAGGGGTGAGAAAGGCATTTTGAAAATCCCAGCTGCCCCCAGAACTTCCTCAATCCAATCGGAAGACTCCAGAGGTGACCCAGCCTGGGAACTTAAAGGTAAAGTTGAACTCACAGTAGTGAGGAAACTTTCTTCGTCCCGAGGAACTTTAGCCCCTCTACGGTTAAGAGGGATTGGCTTGAGGCCAGCCTGGGGCTCAGAAATTGAAAACAACCCGCCTGGCGGGGAAGGGAGGAGGGGGATTTATCTAGCCTAGTGTTGAACCTCAGCCAAATGGAAGGTTTCCCTCCCTCCTCAAGTCTTCTCACCTCTTCTTCAATCCCAGAACATCTCCAAGTTGGACTACTAGAAGCTTTGCTATAGAAAGCTCCAGCTTTCCAATTCTCCCTCTCTTACGTTGATGTTTCCTGAGGCCAAACACCTGTCAATAAATATCTAATCACGAGCAGGATCAGACCTGTCATTAAATCCGTCACTCATCCCTGACAACTTTAAGACGGGTGGACTTCAGCTCCTGCTCATCTTAAAGTTGCCAAGGCTGAGAAACTGCAGGGGTGCGTGGGACGTGGGACTTGGTCCTGGAGAAGATTCTCACTCCTGAAATGAAAGACGTTTGTGCTTCGCAGGAAGAGCTGTAACGCTTTGGCCAGTTTGCTTAAAAGAATTAATAAATTGGGCTTAGACAATTTAGAACTAGGCCGACGTCAGTCTGTCCTAAGCGTAGTACATAAAATTATCTGCCACAATGTCTTTCCTGTCAACGACTACTTCAGCTTCAACCACAACAGTACACAGGCAAATAATAGATACAAACTCAAGGTAAACTGCTCCAAACTCGATTGCAGAAAATACGACTTCAGTAACAGAGTGGTCAATGCCTGGAATGCACTACCTGTCTCTGTAGTTTCTTCCCCAAACCCCCAAAACTGTCTACTATTGACCTCACCCCATTCCTAAGAGGTCTGTAAGGGGTGTGCATAAGTGCACCAGCGTGCACTACCGTCCCTGTCCTAATATTCCTTTTTACTTACTCTTTTCATGTATTCAAATTATGTTTCTACTTTCACCTGTTATCTTATATATGCTTGACAAATAAACTTATGATTATGATTATTATGAAATCAAAGCAATTCGTTTTGATATCCCTTTGAGTTCAATCTCTGGGGCAGGTTTGCACAGGGCATGTTTCTCCCCCCCCTTTTTTTTTCCTGTTAGGGAAAGGCTCAAGCTTGGCCTTGTTTCTCCAAGGGCACACAACACCTTGTGTCAAGTTGCCATGGCTTCGTGCAAACAAATGGCAGGAGCACAGCTTTTGTTTCCTCCTACACCTGATCACTTTCTTCCTTTGGGACTTGTTTTCTGGGCTCTGAGTAGATTCTCCAAAGTTTGATCCCATTCAAGAATGAGTTTCATCCCTTGGTCTTCAGTCTGAGCACGCTCCTCAGAAGGAATGAGTGATGAGTAGCATTGCACCCATGAAGAAGTGAGTAGAAGATCTGATCTTTGGAAGACTGTTATGGGCTGATTTGGGCAGGGCCAAGGTCTGTATGAATCCTTTTCCATGGAGGGTCTGTTCCAATTGCTCAGAGGTTAAGGGTTATAAAGCTCTTCACTGATGGCACCATCTCCGTTGACTCAACACAATCTCCTCTTTGGAATGAAGACACCATGCTACTAATCTGGCGGGTGAAATCCTTGATTATTAGTTTGGACCATCCATACTTCTTTGGAGATCTTCTCTGGGATACTCCTGGCCATGGCTGGAAAAGCAGGGGAGCCCCGTGTCCCAGCCACCTTGCAGAAATCCCGCCTGAAGACCGAGGAGAAGATTCTGGATCTTGACTTCCAGCTGGAGAGCGTGCAATTTAACGAACTAGGGAGGTACGCCCTGCGGTTGACCGCAGAAAATCCTCTGGTGGAGGGGTCTGAAGCTGGAGTGCAGCTGCGGGTGAATGAAGGAGAAGTGCTTCATACAAACACGGCCACCACCAATGTGGTGGAGCAGGCCAACCTCAGCGAAGTCTACATGTTTGAGAAGCGGAGGTTTCTCTTCATCCTGCCCAAAGGTAAGAGGAGGGGAAAGATGGAAAGGGGGCAGAATCCACTTTCAGAGGTCTAAAAGGAGCATGTGGGATTTGAAGAAGGGAGCAATCTGAAGTGTAGTGTTGCAAAGCCAAGGTACTACAGGATTTTGATGCTCTGTGAAGTCTAGGATTAAGGAGCAAGATTGCATTACAGACTCAGGGTGTCCTCCTCCTCCTCAGAACAAATGATGTTCTAAGCTTCTTCTTCTTCTTCTTCTTCTTCTTCTTCTTCTTCTTCTTCTTCTTCTTCTTCTTCTTCTTCTTCTTCTTCTTCTTCTTCTTCTTCTTCTTCTTCCTCTTCTTCTTCCTCTTCCTCTTCCTCTTCCTCTTCTCCTCCTCCTCCTCCTTCTTCTCGTCCTTCTCCTCTTCTACCACCTCCTCCTCTTCCTTCTCCTCCTCTTCCTCCTCCACCTCCTCCTCCTCCTCCTCCTCCTCCTCCTTCTCCTCTTCCTCCTCCTCCTTGAAGGTCTATTAGTCCAACCCCCTGTTCAGGCCAGAGACCCTCTACCATTTCAGACAAGCGGCTATCCAGTCTCTTCTTAAAAACTTCCAGTGTTGAAGCACCCACAACTTCTGGAGACCAGCTCTTCCAGTAGCGCAATCTTCCAGTTGCACGACAGATTTTTTTTGCTCTTCTTCTTCTTCTTTAAAATGTAGGTTTCTGCAAAAACGATAAAAACCATGATGCTCGGCTGCGGATTGAAGCTTTACGCCAGCGTGGGTCCTTCCTGAAGACCAACGTGAAGACAGGAGAAGCTTTCTTCGCAATTTACCCCCGCACTAACCAACCTAGAATAAACCTCTTTGCTAGCAAGGAGGAAGATTTATACCGTTATAGTGATATTATGGTGCTTCTCCGGGCTGGTGGCAATGACTTGGCCATGCATTGTGGGAGGTTGGCTTACACGGTATCGTTCCACGAGCACCGACCCGGAGCCAAGAGAGAAATACCCATCACGCCACGCCATCTTTCTCCTTTGGTCCCCCGCAAGGAAGATAAGATGCAGGTGGAGGTGGGAAGCTCTTACCTGGCACCCTTACAGCTGTTGGAGGTCCAGCCAGAGAGGACCCCAGGCAGTGCACTTAAACGACCATCTCAGCCGTCACCGACTGCAGAATCCCATATTCGTGGGGTAAGGCATGTCCAAGTATCAGGGTTATTCTGAATTGTATTTTATTTGTTTTTCCTTCGGGGGGGTGTGTGTGGAAGTGTTGTGGTCTGCCAGCAGCCCACAGAGCTGGCAGCGGAGTGAGACAGTGAGGAGGCTGGGAGGAACATGGGCCAGTCCTGGAGTCTGGGGAAGGTCCGGAAGAGGACTCTGAGTCGGAGGCAGAGATGGGACCAGGGCCATCGGGGAGTGATGTGGGAGTGATGTGCGGACTCCGGAGCCTCCAGAGGCGGACAGCAGAGAGGCAGAGGAACAGGAGGAGCCTGTTCCTAGTGCATGTATGAGAAGAGCTGCCAGAAGGCAAGAGCAGCTAAAGCAAAAGGGACGACTCAGGAGTAAGGCCAGGAGATGATTGGCCCCTCCCAGAAGGCTTAAAAGAGCAGCAAAGGCTCTTGGGCTCTTTTAGGAAAGCAACTTTGCTAAATCTGTTTTCCAGTCGGCGTCTCTTGTTTCTGAACTTCATGGGGCTTTGCCAAGAAAGGCCTTTGGCAGGGTGCCAAAGAAGATAGAGGTTTGTGATAAGCCCAATGGACTTCTTTTGAAGGACTTTGTTTTGCAATTAATTTGGACTAAGCTGGGAATGAAGTAATTCTCAGCTGTTATAATAAAATAGTTTTGTTTGAGACTAATTGTGTCCTGTAATGACTAAGTGAGCCTAGGTCACAACAGGAAGTGAATGCAAGTGGATCAAAGAGGAAGGGGAATGTTTCATCTCCTTGGGGGGTGGGGTGGGGAAGCTTGGCTGTAAATGGAAGGACAGAACGCATCGTTGTTGGTCTTGGATGAGCAAAGTAGAGTGAATTGGGTGTAGGCCAGCTAAGAACTTCTAAGGGACTGTGGGAATGGCCTTGGGGGGCAGAAGGGAGGGCTGAAAAGGGACCACCGGCATGTAAGAGGTGGCTGACAGAAAGGGCAATGGCAGGGAGAACATTTCAGAAAGGATCTGTCAAACACCCAGGAAATCAAAAGATCCGGGCAGTCACAAATGTATATAAAGATTTATTGCAAGCTTACGCTCTCTACAAGAATCTGAACTACTAACGGTCAAGGGAAATTAAGAATATAAGGAATTCAAGGTGGGCTGGACTTAGATCTAATGTGGGCACGGAGAGACTTGAGACTGATGATGCATTTGACCCCGCCCTCTGGCTCAGCTTTGTCATCTCCTACAGGATCCTCTCCAGTTTTCTGGAGAGTCAAAGGAAAGGAGGGGATAAATACTTTCGGTCTTACAAGATTCTGTTCGTGTAACCTTAGAATAAAGGTCTTTGTTGCCCTCTGAGCTGTTGTTGTTCTCTTACAGACATTTTATTACCAAACTAGGTAACATCATCAGTGCTAATAGGGAGTGAGATTTATATTGGCCCAATTTCCCCAATTCATACGGCTTGGGGAATTCTAGGAGTTGAAGTCCACCCATCTTCAAATTCCCAAGATTGAGAAACACTTGCCCCAAGGGATTCAGAGGTGGGATTGTGGCAGCCATTTTATTTTTATAGACTTCCTCAAGCACGCATGCTTTCTCTCTTCTTAGCGCTCGCCGTACGGCCCGCCGGAGTCCCAAAAAGAAGTCCCTGATGAAGACATCCAAGACTTTTTAGAAGAAGAACAATCCATTTTAGTGGCTTCTTCTTCTTCCTCCTCCTCCTCCTCTTCTCTTGCACCAGCTTTGCCAAGGAGGTTGCCAAGCGATGCCAGTCTCCACCTGCCGTCTCCAGGAGATAGCCCAAAGCTGGCCTCTTTCTTCGGATTGCTGGTAGGTCAAAAATCTGCACAATCAACCATGAAAACGCAACCTTTGCCTCAGGGGTGGGTTCTACTTACCTTTACTACCGATTCGCAATGGGATCGTGCGTGCGTGCTTGCTTTGCTCGCAACGCGCCTTGCTTCTGAGCATGTGCAGATTACTTCTGGTGACGTCAGGGTCAGTGGGTGGAGCCTCCCGCCGGTTTTACTACCAGTTCTATAGAACCGGTCCGAACCGGGGGATGGGGGCGGGCAACCCACCAGTGCTTTGCCTGCTTCTCTTTGTCATCTGTGTCCAAACCAGGTTAATCCAACAAGGTCCAGAAGCTGTTCCTTCTTGGTTAAAGGACCAAGGATTTGCTTGTTTGATTTATGTGTTAATTCAAGGGCAGATATTTAATTCCCTCCACCAAGAGCTTTGCAAGTCCTCCCACAGCGTATTTTAGTCACTGCTAAAGTCAACGGTGGCAATTTTGCCTCGTTGCAGCAAACAGCAAACAGCCTGCTTTACTTTCATTTTCATTTTCAGCATAGCTTGATTAGCACAAGGAAAAAAAAATCTGCAGCAATTTACCTCTTTGCAGCAAGCAGCAGAGCCCTGCGCAAAACAGCTGAGAGCAAATCAGCTGAGAGTCGGGAGGCCGATCCAATCAACTTGTGCTAATTAAGCTGTGCTGAAGCTGAAAGGAGCTGTTTCTTCTTTCTGTTTGCTTGCAAGGAGGTAAACTGCTGGGAGGCAGAGGCCAAAGGGTGGGGGCCAGTGGGTGGGCGGGGGCTACATTCGGTGTATAAGACGCACCTAAATTTTCACCCCCTTTTAGGGGGGAGAAAGGTGCGTCTTATACTCCGAAACATACGGTAATCAAAAGGTTTAGCACAAAATAAAAGAGTTTGGCAGATAAAACAAGTTGATAGACCTTGTGGGAAACGATTAAAAAAACTCAAAATGTATTCAGTAAAGACCTTGTTTTGAATAGCCCTGGTTTAAACCTGGCTGTTACCGTTGTAATTTTAGGACTTTTATCTAAATATTTACATCTTCAAAGTTGTCTCTTCTTAGCCTCTTATTTTAATGTTTGAGGTTCAATGTTTTTACGGGCTGCTTTTGAAAGGGGATTGATGAATTTCAGCCGAAGGAATGGGCGACAAGAGCCTCCCCGGATGGGGAATGAAAACGTGGTCTTGTTGTGCTATTGTGAGAGTGACACCGATTGTGAGCTCATTGCTGGATGGCTGAGCATGGACAAAAGGGTACACATGTTTCTTAACGTCTGTGGATTAGCCTCTTGATGGGACGGTCCCCGTATTGGGGCCGTGATCTACTATGGCGACTTCTTCTTCTTTTAATAAGGCCACTTAATTCCAGCATTGTAAATAATTCTTGTTCTATCTTTGCCTTCAGCTTCTTCGCTCTTTTGTTTTTCCAAGCTGCAGAAAGTGTAACTTCTTTTTCTTAAATTAGCACCCACTTCCTATGTTTAGAGCAATGTTTTCAGGAGGTATGAAGCTAAAGTTAGCAGTGATCTTCCAAGCTTCTTCTTCTTCTTCTTCTTCTTCTTCTTCTTCTTCTTCTTCTTCTTCTTCTTCTTCTTCTTCTTCTTCTTCTTCTTCTTCTTCTTCCTCTTCCTCTTCCTCTTCCTCTTCCTCTTCTCCTCCTCCTTCTTCTCGTCCTTCTCCTCTTCTACCACCTCCTCCTCTTCCTCCTCCTCCTCTTCCTCCTCCACCTCCTGCACCTTCTCCTCTTCTTCCTCCTCCTCCTCTTCCACCTCCTCCTCCTCTTCTTCCTCCTCTTCTTCCTCCCCCTCTTCCACCTCCTCCACCGCCACCTCCTCCATTTCTTCCATAGTATTTTAGTTTTTAGATTTCATCTTTTGTATTTTTTATCTCTTGTGTTTTTATCGAGGTGTGATATGAATGTGCCATATGATTAATAATAATAATAATAATAATAATAATAATAATAATAATAATAATTCACCTCTGCTTCTGCCTCTGTCTTTGGCTAATATGAATTATTACTTCTGCATAGTGGGAGAAATATTTGGGAATGCATAAATTGTGTGGCTGGCGAATTCTGGAAGTTGAAGTCCACACATCTTAAAGTTGTTAAGATCAGAAATGACCAAATAGGAGCCCAAGATTTACAAGGGAAGACATTTTGATCAGTGGCAGCACCAACAATTGTCTCATTCAGATTCTCATCCAAATTACCGATTTTCAGAGTACAACAGCTTCCATTTCCAATTTGAAAATCTTCAATTTGAAACCTATAAGATGTGATTGAATTGCCAGATGAATTAACATAAAAAGTCTAAATTACAAAAAAAAATGATCCTGGTTTGAAAAATGATTTACCTTTGGGGAGCAATGAAAGCAATGGTGTGTTTGTCAAGACAAGGCATTTTAAATCAGCTCTTGTGAAGGCATCCATGATGTGCAATAAAACTCCAAAGTTGATAATTTGTGATATCACGTCAGTCATAAAAAGCCAAACCATTACAGATTCCTTTTTAATCTATTTGTGTGGTTTTCAGCTGAAGAACAAATAAAAGCAAACAAGAAGTAAAAACACTTCAATCACTGAACCCTGAGCTTTGCAATTCTTGCATGAGGAAAATCTTTTTGGCCAAAGATCTATATCTGTGGATGGAAAGCAAAAATGCTCATGTGAAATAGGGAATGTCTTTCTTTCTTTCTTTCTTTCTTTCTTTCTTTCTTTCTTTCTTTCTTTCTTTCTTTCTTTCTTTCTTTCTTTCTTTCTTCTTTTCCTTTCCTTTCCTTTCTTTCCTTCCTTTCCTCTCTCCCTTCCCTTCCTTCCTTCCTTCCCTGTCCCACCATCTTTCCTCCTTTCCTTTCCTTTCCTTCTTTCCTTTCCTTCTTTCCTTTCCTTTCCTTTCCTTTCCTTTCCCACCCTTTCCTTCCTTCCTTCCTTCCTTCCTTCCTTCCTTCCTTCCTTCCTTCCTTCCTTCTTTCCTTCCTTCCAAAGAACATCTTTGTTGTGCTTTTCTGATGAGGTTTTTGATATCCGGGGCATTTCATGAGAATGTGATTTAAATTAAGACAGTGAAAGTGGCAAGACAACTCTGCGACAAATAAGTGGGACAATAAAAATAACGGAGGAGAAAAGGGGGCAAGATAAGGAGAAAAAGAAGAAAAGAAAAAGACTTTCTAGGAACGAGAGAACAGCAAAGCCAGCTCATCAAACAGATTAAAACCTGGGCTGAAACCTCTTTGTTCTCACCTCTTTGTCCAAAGAAACTCAATCAGACATCAACCTTACAGAAAAGCATGGCAGGAATTTATTAGCAAAACCTTCAGGACAAAAGAGCCGAAGAATGCTTTGGCTTGACTTAGAATTAACTTCATGTTGTCCTCAGATCTCCTTGTTGGTCCTTCTTTTGTGCAGAAGGAGACAAACGTACCCTACATAGACCAGCTTGTTGGATCCAGAGGGATTAAAACCACAAATGCTAGGACAGGGATGGTTAATCTTTTTGGGGCCGAGTGCCCAAAGCACACGCATGTACGTGTAAGGTTGCCAGGTGTCCACTATTTGAGCGGACAGTCGGCTTTTTTCACATTATGTTCACTATTTTTTTTTTTTTCACAAAATAGTGGACATTTTTTTTATTCAAAAGCTTTATGATTGTATATTTTTTAAATATTTCTCAACCTTGTACTGAAATTAAAGAATTATTCCTTAAACACAAAGAATTGATCAAAGCTGCGCAGTCACATAAAAAATACACACGACAGCAAATGTAAACTGTAACTTAATATTTTACATATTATTATAGTATATTTGATGTTTTGAATTTTAAGTAAAGTTTTGAAGTGATTATTTTAATACGTGTTAAAATGTTTGTAAGAAAATATATAATTTAATTGTAATTTTTAATTTTTTTTTTACTACTTAACCCCCCACCCCACCCCGCTTGTCCGCTATTTTTTGGAAGCAGATCTGGCAACCCTATGTACGTGTGCCCGAACTCCCAAAATGCAATGCAAGTGCATGCACCCCCTGCATCCTATTTTGGCTTCCAGGTTGGTGCAGGAGGCTTTCCAGGCCCAAAATGGGGTGTGGGGGCACTGTGTGAGGCCCGTTTTGGGCCTGAAAAGACTCCTGCACCAACCTGCCCCCCTGTGCATGTGCGGCAGAGACCCAAAAACCAGCTGGCCGGCAGGAGGCGCACGCACATGTGTGGTGGAGCTGGGCTGGGGCGACGGCTGGCGTGCCCCATACAGAGAGGGCTTTGCACGCCACCTGTGGCACATGTGCCATAGGTTCACCATCATGGGCAGAAAAGGGTCGGCTTGGAAAACGCAGGGAGATACTGAGCTGGAGATGGAAAGGAGAGAACGATGGATGGGGAATTTCTGGACAATGTTATGCAATAATTGACCGACTCCTTAACAATGCCATGGAGGGCAATTGTGGGGAAGAAACAGGTTGATGTTTCAAAGGTGCTTTTCCAGAAAGGCAACTGGATTTTTTTTCTTGGGTTTTTCTTTTTTCTTCCTTGAAAACGTTTTGCTTCTCATCCAAGAAGCTTCTTCGGTTCTTCAGTTCAGAACTGAAGAAGCTCCTTGGATGAGAAGTGAAACGTTTTCAAGGGAAAAAAGCAGTGGTGAAATCCAAATTTTTTTTTAACTACCAGTTCTGTGGTAGTTAAACATGGTGTGACATGGTGTGGCTTGGTGGGCATGGCTTGGTGGGCGTGGCAGGGGAAGGATACTGCAAAATCCCATTCCCACCCCACTCCAGGGGAAGGATATTGCAAAATCCCCATTCCCTCCGCACTCCTGGGGGAAGGATAGTGCAAAATCTCCATTCCCATCAGTGGTGGGTTGCCCCCGGTTCGCACCGGTTCTATAGAACCGGTAGTAAAACCGGCGGGAGGCTCCGCCCACTGACCCCGATGTCATCAAAATGCTTCTGCGCATGTGCAGAAAAGCGCGTGCACAAGCACAGCGAGTGCGCGCGCATGGCCCCGCTACGAACCAGTAGTA